TGCAAACGGATCAAATGGTGGTAATCCATAAGTTTGAAAAGCCATTCAAAGTCATATGCGACCCAGATGCCCAGGAAGGAACACCTCACATAATTAAAAGAAGCCTGGTCTGGTATACAGACTGCTCCAAAACAGCTGGAGCTGATGGCGTATATGAACTGGAGAAAGATCAAGATCAGAACTAAGAATCCCCCCGCATTATCTCGAGGCTTTCTTAGCAAAATAAACAGAAGACTTCTTCACCAAGTACTACTGGGAATTGGTAGTGGAATAATATTAGCTTGCCTAGTTGAACAGTGCCTTACCAAAGAAAGTTGGTCATAGTATTTCTTATAGACCAGACAAAAAAAAGCAGGTACGGACCAATTGAAGGGTCGCCAATAAAACCGGCCAACATGTTAATGGCAAATTGGTTTTGCTCGAACCAAAATCCGGTTGGTTTGCGATGGGTTACAAAAACCATTGCCAAAAATGTACCCGCGACTGGTAATTGCCAAAAATGTACCCGCGACTGGTAATTTTGCGGACCCAGTGCTACCACTTTTTGAAGGTGGTAATGGTGGAGCAGCTGCTCGTGGGCTACCTACCCGCCACACAGTTTGGTGGGCAGCATTCATTTGATTCGCTATTGTCATTGTTAGGTGATTCAGCAATTCGATGCAAAGCCTCTTCCTCAAAGGCAAATGTTCGTGCAGTTCGTAGACGTCTGGTTTCTCCACCTGGGGTCGTATTTTCGAATTCATTAGAGTACATTTCGTACACGAAATTTGATTAACAGCAATGTAAATTAAATGGGAAGCATTCGAAATCGTATCACATTTCGTATGCGAGAATATTGGAAAATACGACCCCTGGTTTGAAACTGCCTTTTGCTCGTAATCGACAATGGACTGCCGAAAATGTGTTTCGAGACGGATGTCGGCGATGAGGAAATCGCTCAGCATAGAGCCGCTTAGCTTGTCTAGTCATCATCTTGATTCACCATAAATAAGATGCATGTCTGCATACTCTCTTCAAACGTAACTTCACCCTTTTTACAGTTTCAAGCGCAAAACTTTGTCGCAAAAGAAACGAATGTACCTAAAGCAGTTGACTCGCTGCGATTAGCACTAAAATTAATTTGCCGACAAAGTCGAGTTTAGGAATCCAATGCTGAAAAACTAGCATTTGGATACCAAAAAGTGTTTATTGTTTGTTATATCTGTTTTTCTTTACTCTCTGATATATTTTTTTTTTATTTAACTACTTCCTGATTGAAGTACTCTGGAGCTCATTTTTGACCAGGGGTGTCTATGCAAAAAAAATTCACGAGATGTCCCCTATAATCGTAAGTTTGGCACAGCCTTTTTGGCTGCATTGTAGTGGGAAATAAAATAAAAATACATATGTTTTTTAAAATATATTTAATTAATACTTCAACAAAAAGCAACATTATTTGAGAAAAACGTATCACATAATAGAATAAAAAGCACCCTAATTCCAAAACTGATTATAAGAAATTTGATATAGGTGCTTTGGGTTCTTAAGTTCTTACATTTCTAATATTTATATAAACTATTTCTGAAACAAACACAATAATGCCCATTAATGAAATTAAGTCAAACTTTAAAATCTGTTATCACAGAAAACCCCCTTTAAATTGAGGCAATTTCTAAAACACTTAGGTTTATTTTTTCATATTGAATTTTTATTTGAACAATTATTGTAACAAAATATTTGAAGTAAATTCTATAGACTATTGTATTGCTAACAAACCAAATTTTAAGATATCTGTTTTCTGTTAGAAACTCCTACAGTCTTTGACACAGTGTATGTGTGGGAGCCCACAGTGAGATAAATATCCGCATCGAGTATTTGATTGAGTGCGTTTTGACAAACTACGCCAATAAACAAATTTCTTTTTCCAAAAATTCTTTCAGTTAAACAGTAAACACATATTAAATACCTGTTAAGGCATATGATCTGTTGAAAAACCTAACCTTTTTTCGCATTGCCAATGACTGTCATTGGCACCATCCATTTTTATTTTTCCCTACAACTTGGAATACTTTTTATGTTAGAGCATTGACTAGTTTATTAAATATACAGTATCTACTATTGATTGAAGTTGGCAGCATAGTTCATGAATCTATGTTGCTGGAGTTCATCAGCCCTCTCATTTAAATACTGGATGAAGACGGTTATCGCAGAGTGGGCACTCACACTTACAGAAACATACAACAGTCTGCGGCAGTTTTCTTTAATTTTTTTTTTTTTTTCATACTGCAACAAATTTGAAACAGTAGCGTTTCAGACTTTGTTAGGTTACGTTTAGTTCTAGTGTCCACCAAGGTATAACTTATTTTATCTATAATCAAAAAATCAGAAACTGTTGGTGGTGTTTGTACCTACCTACCTTAAATCTTTTGGAATTACATAGCATTTAATATTAGGTAGATATGTAAATATAAAATTCAAATTACTTGGATTATTTGATGATTCGACAAGATATCCACATAACAGAGTGCTCGAAGAAATAGCCTCAGGGCTAGACATTCGATCATTGGATGAATACTCATTACTCACTCCCCGATATTTTCATATTTTCTACTTCAAAAATTGTAAAACTATTTGTTATTAAAAAATAGTATTAAATATATTTATATAATTTATTAAGTATTAGTTATAGTAATACTGAACGTTTTAGTCGCATTTTATTTCCATCAACCACAGACAGACGTCAGAAGTACTAGAGAAAAATGTAATTCAAGTGCAATGAAACAAATTGGCAAAATGCCGACATATATAAACCAACACGAAGATTAAACATTGATTCTGATTACTGAAAAGAAATGTAAGCAATTACTACAAAAATGGTGTATTGGGTATCCTTTACCTCTGTAATATCACTATTCTGTTTAAGCATTGGCATTGGAAGTCAGAATCAAATAGTTTTATACATGTGGATTCTCACTTTGAAGACTGTGCAGCGACTGTGTAATTTTGAGTTTGATTTCATTAAACTTCAATTTAAACCCAGTTTTTATTTTACATACCTATCATGTGTACGACTGACGGTTGTGACACAGTCGATGCACGTCCCATGAATCAATTTTAACGCAGTGACTGCGGACAAATTAGACTTTTTGAAATTTTGAAGCTGCAATTCAATTTAACAAAAAAAATTGCTTTTGTGAGCTTTTCTTCTAACAGATCTCCAAAATCAGGTTACTATGTTTGTGATTGACTCGCCTAATGATAAGGCTGTTTAAAGATGTTTGTCATTTCAAGAGGGTTATAACAACTTAAATAATAATAAATTGAATTACCTATAAACTAAATAACTTTCAAACTAATTATTCTTATGTTCTTGCTTCCTTATCCTTAAAAGGTACAAATTACAACCTACTGAGAAATCAAAAAGGAAAAACAAGAACATAAATAATAATAAACAGATTCATAATGGAACAAGATAAATAAATATTAAAACTAATAGTAGCTTTACTGGTAATTTGAAAATAATTTACCTGTAAATTAAATATTAAATCCCACACCCAATACACATCTAAAATATTAACACACTCATTATTATTATTATACAGAAGTCATGTCTAGAAGTGTTTATAAAGTAAGTGATGTGGATCAGATGCGTTTCTTTTCTTAAACCTGATGGCCGCTAATGGCGTTGATTGGCTGTAAATAAAAATTTTACACATTAGTCCTTGGCTCTGATTTTATGTACGATCTTCTAGCCTCACTCCTATATTTATATCTCCATTTGCACCGTAGCTAACCACTTTGTACTACAAAAAAGGTAGATAAATATTAGATACTTGGCTAGAAGCATTTTTTTTTATATAATTCAGAACCAATTTAAGCTAACGTTCAGCTGCATCTACACATTCCGAATATTGATCATTAATTAAGAATTCAGGCATTCTAATATCAGAAATTTCGCTGATATGAAAATCATGCAGAGGATGAAGTAATTGCCATACAAACTTCAGAATACTCTTGGTATAAAACTATTAATAATAAACAGAATATTCAACAATGATGGCTATAAAAGTACAAACTCTGTTAGAATAACAATGTCACCACTTCATAAGCCCAATAGCAGCCAAGCTGAGACTAAACAGTGTTCAACTTACAGCTACCGGACTTAAAATTGTGTAAAATTTAATTTCTTTCTAGTAAAATATAGGAAATTATATACTTTATAAATCAAACGTTGAGATGTGATATCTTTACCATCTCAGTAATAATTATGCTGATTGATGTAGCATTTATTGTAATTTTATCTCTGTTATATAGGTAGAGCCGAGGGTAGAGCAATTTACCAAATGTGCTAACTGACTTGGTAAGCAGCTTAGGTTCTTCAACATTGATTGCACACGCAGTCAGCGTTAGCCGCTCGTTGTTGTGAACCAGCTCTTATCAAACGTTCTCGTTCATGCCCGTTTTTTTTTCCCCATACCTTAGCCTTTGTTTTTCAAAATACTGTGAGCCTTGACATAAATTCAGTCGTCATAATGGGTATCTATATCATCCAGTTTTGCTTTTGTTGCATACATGTAGCAATTATTATTTTAGAGCCAAGAAACCTGTTGATATAGGAACTAAAAAATAAATATAAATTGTTTAGGTGCTGAACTATTATACAGAATGTGTAGATGCCAATAGACTATCTAAATTAATCAAGGCCATGGTTCAAAATAAATTTTCGATGAATATCCCAGAATGCCACAATGACTTTCTACAGAACCTGAATCTAAATGAAACTACCCAACTATTTTCAAATGATACCAAAAACGAGTAAATATGCAGATGATAGGAAAGAGTAAATTTGAAAATGATAGGAAAGAGTGAATTTGAAGAATGGAAATATAACATCAAATTAAAAAATAGAACGAAAAAGTACAATATCAGGAAACGTTCTATCTTGAAGAAACCAAATCCCGCGTTAATAGTCAAGGCAAGCAAACTATGCATGCATAAAAAAGCTCTTAAGTTTTTTGAATTTAGTCTTTTAGACTTACTCTGCTATTAAGTCTAGAGCTAGATGAAAAGTCATTTCCCTCAATACACAGATCAGAGTCTGAATCTAGACTTTTTAGATTTGGAGTTTCCTGGAATACGCAATGAACAACATAAAATTCACGAATGTAATCCAACCGAAAACATTAAACTTACCTGAGTCATCTGTTCAGTAGTAGTTAAAAATCGTGCCACTGGAGTACAGCATACTGGTAAAGTCTCCAAAAGTGTGGGTCTTGAATGGGTCAAGAGGGGCTTCATGTATTTACTGTCAAAGGAACCCCAAATTTTTGCCAGGAAGGCTTTGTCATTGGCTCTGGGACGCTCTGGAGGGCCAAACGGTTCATTCCAGTCATTTCGCGGTGTAGTATTACCCTGAAAAGAGCATTTTATACAATATATATTTTTTTAAAATATCAATGAAGCAACAACAATTTTTTGGCTACGAATATAAACGATAAAATAAGCAAAATACACTTTCACAACATTTTCGGGGGAATATGTCAATTAAGCATTTCCAAAAAAATAATACATTAAAAAATATATTCAGAATAAAAATGTCCAGAGAGACTTATATCTCCATTTTATGGTAAAGGGAATGCAATGTTTCTTTTCAAAACTTACTGACTGCTTTTTTGTCCATTTTACACACACACGTTTCCTTAAATAGGTATGCGTATTTATTTATGCATTACTTTATCTGTTTAATAATTTGATGCCTAATATTGAACATGGAATTTGAAATGAACAAATTATTGCAAATTATGAGTAAATTATACTCTTGGAACTAATACAAGACAAACTGTATACAGAAAAAATTTGAAAATTTGACGGTATACTAATGTCAATCGGGGCCACCCGGCTTGAATAATTTCAAGATGATGATACTTCCGGTCTTACCGGAAAGTAGACGTCAACTAAATGAGACAACCTATATATTATTTTATTTTTGGTTTCTACACAAGATTCTAGAGAGATTCCGTGTATAATGTCTTCTACCTAAGTCTAAGCACTTTTCACATATTTAATTTTCTATATCAAAAATTACATTTGCAGGAACTAAAATAATTATGATTTTCGAAAACTAAACATTTTCGGAATAGATAATTTTAGATAAGCTCACCCTTATTTTTAATATCAATAATCTTACAATAACTTGCCGAAACGAAATTAACATTGACTAAAAATATATAAAATTGACAGACAGACAATTAAATTAACGGGTTGTTTGTTTAACAAAAATGATTCGCAGACTGCTCGATGATTTTGACAAACGTAACGACGTCAATAGAAATATACTAAATTGCCTACAAAATAAACAAGATGACGTCTACTTCCGGTATACCGGAAGTGCCACCATTTTGAAAAGATTCCAGCCGGGTTACCCCCATTGACATTAGTCTCGACATTAGTATATACATATACTGCAATTACTGTCAAATTTTCAAAATTTTTCCGTATAAAGTTTTTCATATATAGAACGATTTGGTTCCCGGTGGGACATTTCATATACATATGTTTATGGGACACATGCAACTTCTTATGTATTTATTTATTTTATTTTATTTATTTATTTATTTATACTCATTTTAAACACACACAAATTTTAGTCACATTAAAAGAGTACTTACTGCCAATACTAGCCTACATACATATCTATGCTAAAATGAAAAAACAAGTGAACAAACAAAAAAAAAAAAAAAAAGAAAGATAAAAGAAAAGTGACCTATTGAAAGTTGGGCGCAGTTATTTAGAACCATTATTTAGATTATTTGCAAGAGATTAACTGATGCCCTTGTATTATCAGCCCACCGCACTGCAGCCATGAGTCTAAGTTCTCTGGAAACATATTATTTATTTGTGGCATCAGAAACGGGTTGATCATTTCAATATAGTGAGTGGCATTAACTATCCCATTAAAAATGCACACCCAACCGTTACTTTTCGGCTAAGTAACAGTTTTGATTGGGTTATTGTGGTTTTCCGAAGGTTTAATATGCACATTTTTGCTCAAATTTTACTGAAAATGAAGCATTTGCAAATTCAAGCTTATAAAAGCTTATGTTTTTATTTTCTACTATCACCTATTACCAAAAAAAAGTAGAAATCAAACACCAGGTAAACTTGGGCAATTGAAATGAATGAATGAAAAAAAAATTGTTTCTAAAAAACAAATATGAGCCTATGAATAAAAATTCCCCCAATAACGATTGAAAATAAAAATTAAAAACAGAACATATAATAGCATCTTTTACTGTCTCACATGCAGCGGTGCACATCTATGCATAATACCTACCCCAGAACCTCTTTCGATTGAATTGTAAACCTGTCAATTAAAAGTGATGAATAGGTGCATTATTCTTAAATTATTTGAACAAAAATAAACTTACACTAGGAGCACCATTCTGTGAAATAGCCTCAGTTTCTTCGTCAGTACCAATACTGGAAAAAAAAGATTGAGAAACCACTTTATAAAAAGATTACGTAGAACACATACGGGATGTTGAACCATCTCAATAAATTCATAGTGGCGCCTCCTTGAATAATCACTGTTATAATAACGATAAGAGATGTAGTGGTTAACATCGCTTGCCTAACTTCTGATCTTGTATTCCTAATAGCCAAGGCAAAAGACATGGCACCTCTTAAACCTGAAATGATAGGCCATAATTATGTTTTGTTTAGTATACTTAACTGCTTGATTGATTTAACAGTTTTACTGCAATCAACAAAGAAAGGATAGCTAGACATCAGTATATGTTTGGAATTAACTATCACAGAGTAAACTATACATTTATTTGCCCTGCTTTAAGATGGAAATCACTTGCCAGATCATGTGGATCTTTTCAAGATGACTAGTGCTGTAGTTCTATGAGAAACATAACAGTTTATAATTTCTCAACTTTCATTTGTAGCTTATTTTATGATAAAAGCAAGGATTGGTTAGTTTACTTGTTTATTTCATTTTGTATTTTGTACCAATTTAACAATAATATTTATGTGTGGCTGTGCCACATGAAAATCCTTCCAGTACCTAAGATGGCTGTTGAATCCTTTATTTCAAATGCTCTAGGTTTTTTAAATTTTAAAAAATAAATTAAGAAATTGAGTCAAGTAACCTTATGTGCACTATTATCCACTGTGAGTGGAATTTTCATTATTTTTACCAGAATAATTAAATATAAAGTCTTACCTGCAAAAAATAGCATATGTTGAAAATTTATTGGGATTTTTGGATTTCTTCCCAAGTTTAGAAGAAATGACAAAGGATACACGTTTGCGGCTCTTCCTATGGCTGCACAAACCTATACTAAGTATTAAGGAAAACGACTATTTTTGGATATTTAATAAAATAGTTTGTGAAAGACAAAAGTACATCTATCAGAACTATTTGTATTGAAAGAACGCTTATTTGAAATAGCGCCAATCAAAGCAGTAGGTGATTGACTAGGCTTAAATCATCAAAAAGCTCCTGCCATCGTTATTTAATATATTTCAGTTTCTGCAAACGCTTCTGTCTTCTTTTTTTTTAAAAGTAAATGTAGAGTCAACTTTCGCTCTAGCAACGCAATGATTGATGCTGTTTCGAACAAACGCTATATGTACCATTATACTCTATTTTTGGATGTTGGGTAGAAATAATTTCAGAAAAAGGATACAAATCCAGCAAATATAAACCACAAATCAAAATGATGCTTTGGGAAAGTGAACATAGAAACTCCAATGTAGGAAAATATAAAATTCTCAGCTAGGAAGTTAAGTAGTTCAAAAATTTGCTTTGTTCTTATTCTAGAATCGTCAGATAGATTGTTGAATGTATAATGAGCTTGGCAAATTCCACAAAATAGTACTGATACAACTCCTGAAAAAAATTAAAAAAAATAAAAACTTTATTATTTGAATGATTTAATTATTATTTACCAGTCAAATCTGAAGCTTCAGCAATCAAAAAAGTACTGTATGACATCAGAACAAACAATGCTGATTCTAAGAGTGGGAAGTCACGTATCCGGGTATATTTGGTCATGTATATTTCAAATTAAGGAAAACAGTTTTTAATAAAATGATTTTTAAAATTGAGGGCTCTCATATTCGCAGGCGTCCTGTAATGTAGGTACATATATCCAAATTATGTCCCAAATATAGTTACATGAGTATGAGACGCACTGTGTAGAGCATTTTTTGAATTTTGCAACGTTAACGATAGTTCAATTTTAGTATTGAGAAAATTTAATTTATTATACTACTGTTTCACTGCTCACAGATGCATTTGTAGAGAGGAACATAATCACTGTTGGCCAAAGTAACTCCTTATTCAGTATACTCAGGAGCACATAAAAATACTGAGTTCATAAAATACTAATTAATACATCAATATCTGACAATTCTCAAGTATTTCTCACACCATTTCAGTCTACTTGGTAGCCTAGTAAGTAGTGCATTCAATAATGAATTATTATTTGGTTAAAAAATACTTGCTAAATGTAATATCAAATTATCATCAAAAGCGGCCAAGAAATAAGGAATTTACTAGGAAATCATTAAAAGCTGGTTCAAATAGGCCCACAGTGCAGATGGTCAATTATTGAAATAAGTGTAGACTAATAAATTGAAATGATTGCGTATTAAAAAAAGGATATCAATGCAGTAATACAGCCCATAACAGCACCAATCAGCAATGACAGCATAAAAATCCCACAAAAATCACCAACAGCTTGCAAAAATGCTTTTACTTCAAAACCTCCAGTACCCAATTGGTATCTCTTACCATAATGTTGAATTGATCTGAAACGAATGCTCTGCTATAATTTCTTCTAAACATACAGCAGCACCATCCTGTATAAATTACTTACCCACTTAAAACAATAGCAACAGCATCATTAAGAACACTTTCACCAAATACTAAGGCATACAGGTTAACATCTACGTTTAGATCATTAAAAATAGCTAAGACTGTCAGAGGGTCAGTGGCGGATATTAGTGCTCCGAAGTAAAGTGTGTCTAGAAATGTGAAACTATTGGCTAGTCGAGCAGGCATGAGCTGGACACACCCATACATCAGTGCCCCAACGACAAATGACGACACAGTTGTACCAATAATAGCATAAGTTAGTATTGCACCCAGGTTACGAAAGAAATATTTCTGAAATAGCAGATTATCAGTAAATATAAAGTAATAGTTTTTGTGCAAATCAGAATCATAGAAGTTATTCAGAATAATAAAGAAACGTGGTAGCTATTCTTCCTATGAAATACCTTACATTTTTTTAACATGCACTTGAAGACATCAAAAATCTGTGTAAGAAAATGCACATTCTTATAAAATATTATATTATTATCATGCAGCTTTTATGGTTAATTAGGAAAAGTGCAATATAAGAAGCTCGTAAAGTATTTTTTAATAGACAAAAATGTACAACAATATATTTATATTGGCTTTATAGATTTTCAGTTGGCGAACTTACCCTTTTCAAAGAATATCCAGCATAAAAAATAATCGGTGGTAAAATAATATTAAAAAATATCTCTGGATCAAAAGTAGCTTTCAAATCAATTTCATTTTCTTTGACATCATCAATTTCATTACGAAAGACATATTGAAACGTTAGATTTTTGTTTGCGCTTGGCTTAGGCATATAGAGGGATAAAGTATCTGGCGGTAGGCTGGAATTATATTTAGATTCGTCTACAAATACTTGCATATTAAGTACTTGTGATGTTGATCCAGAGTATCGTATAATTGCCCCAACTATAAGGCCTGAAAAAGAAAAAAATACATTATATTATGTGAACTTGAAACAATCTGTTTATGTAAAAATAATAGACTTATAAGTCAAGGTCTGACTACTTGATTTGAAAATAGAGATTAAACTTGTTATCAAAGGAAAATAATGATTCATGTCTGAATCATAACGATTACGCTAAGTGGTCAATCTAAAAAAAAACATTAAGTGAATATAAGGTATTGCATAATCTGTTTTTTTGTAGAAAATAAAATATTCACCAAAAAAAAATTATTTCATGGATGAGAGCGTTTTTATGCTATTTCTTAGATAAATTTGAACATCTACTTACTTATACATACTTAGGTATCTATTCATAATAAGCCGACTCATAAACATTTTGTAATATTCTGAAGAACAAAGGCTCATAAAGTTAAGGAGGATAACAATCATCATTGTCAGACATGAGTAATACCTAAGATAAACATGCACTACAATCAGTGTCCAAATTAAAATAAAAAACTGAGAAGAAGAAAGTAGCCACTTCAATGCTGACTTTAAAAAGTTTGTGTAAAAACTTAGATACCCACTATAATATAATATACAGGGTGACACTTTAAAAACTTACAATGGCTATATCTCAGGAACCAAAAAAAATATAAAAAATCGCTGAAAACAATTTCTATAGTAGGGATGGGGACACAAAATTATGTAATAACTAACTTGTTTTCACTCACCCCCTCACCCTCGGCCACCCCAACTAAATAATCTCAAATAGCAACCCCCTACTTGTGATACCTTATCTGAAAGCTCTTGAAAAATGCTTTTCAATGGTATCCTACAAGCTAGGATTCGATGTGATTGTTTTTGGTTTATTGGGTAAATAAAACTTCATTCATTTGAATTAAAATTGTATTTTTTTAAACTTTTTTTTTCAGGTTCCCAAAACAACGAATTAACAAAAAATAATACAAGCCTAAAATGTTTAAGCCTCAAGATTAATGCTACGATAGTAAAAAAATGTTTTTAAATGTTTATTAAATTAATAGCCAAAAATTCAATTCACATTTCAATGGTTTCATTTTGAAAATTATTGACAATTATAACATCGAATCCTAGCTTGTAGGGTACCATTGAAAAGCATTTTTTAAGAGCTTTCAGATAAGGTATCACAAGTAGAGGGTTGCTATTTGAGATTATTTAGTTGAGGTAGCTGGGGGTGAGGGGGTGAGTGAAAACAAGTTAGTTATTACATAATTTTGTTTTCCCCTCCCTACTATATAAATTATTTTCAGCGATTTTTTATATTTTTTTTGGTTCCTGAGATATAGCCATTGTAAGTTTTTAAAGTGTCACCCTGTATAATATATAAAAGTTTTCAATGAAAAATTTTAATTTTGTTTGTTTCATTGTTTTGTTTTGTTCGGACCGCATCCTATATGCTTCTGTATTGGCTGTACCTTTTATATGAATGACTCTATAGCTTAAAGTAGTAATTGTACCTATGTTGCTTAGGATTATGCTTTCACATTTATGTTTATGTTTATTTTTTATTTTATTGGTTGTACTTTTTTTTTATAACCCGATAATTTTATAATACCTACTTGCACGTTACTTAAGATCCTGCTTTGTCAATGAAATTTCTTTTCCGACAATAAAGTATATTTTGATTGATTGATTGATTGATAACCTTTGAAAACAGTTATGATAATCTGTAAATGCTAGTTCAAATGCAGTGCAAAGTAAGCATTTTTAATGACTGTGACTTTAATTTCAAGTTGAGAGGCTTGCACCAAAAGGTGTTTTATTCAGTTTATTTACCATGATGGTGCAAAGGTAAATTAAATTTTCTGCATTCTTCTGAGATATGTACAAAAACCTGATAGGATTGATACAAGTACCTAAGTATTTGTTTTGTTTCAAGGAGGTCTCTTTTAATTATGTCAGAACGGTGATGGACGGCCTAACAAACTAGACTAGCAGAGACATCTATAATCTTAATATCAACTTGATAAAGGGTGTCAAGAATTTGTTGCTTATACCGTTGACAAAGTTGATCAACATGATTATCAAACAAAATACATTCCCAGACTGCCTAATGATTGCCAGAGTCGCACCTATATATAAAAAAGGGAAAGCTAACGATCCTGGGAAGTACAGACCCATATCTCTTCTGCCCTCCAATTGAAAAATTGAAAATGGAGGATTCTTAAATGCAAATCAGTTTGGTTTTATAGAGGGAAGAAATACGACTTTGGCAGTTTTGGGGCTGGTTGAGAATATAATGGAGGGTTTTGAGAGCTCTCAGTACATAGTTTCTACTTTCTGTGACCTGAGCAAGGCTTTCGCCTGTGTTTCTCACGACATTTTACTGGACAAATTACCCTACTACAAATTTTCAAATAACAGCATAAAACTGATAAAGTCGTACTTAACAAATCACCCAAAAATTGGTAATTTTAATAACACAGTATCAGATAAACAGCAAATCAATGTTGGTGTACCACAGGGATCAATCTTAGGACCAATATTGTTTTTGCTTTACATAAATGATCTTCCCAACATTGCTTTGGATTAAATTTATCACAACTTTGCAGATGAGACGACTGCACAAACCAAACACACTGACCTACTGATTGCCACCGAAATGCCAGGGGAGGCACAGTAGAAAGCTAGGAAATGGTTCTCAGCAAATAAACTTTTCCTAAACGAAGCCAAGACACAAAACTTCGTTTTTTCACTGAAAAGAACTGAGGCAGTGACTGGCAGCGTCAAGTTTCTCGGAGTTTCACTAGATCAGAAATTACTGTGGGATGCCCATACCAAAATGACATCCAATAAACTAAGCAAAAATGCATTTGTTCCGAGAAATTTGTCATTGTGTGTTTCTCCTGAAATTCTAAAACAAGCTAACTATTCTATCTTCCAATTATGCACTATTAGTTTGGGGCCACTCAAGCGGTTCCCGCAGAATCTTTGCCTTGCAAAGGCGAGCTATAAGAATAATAGCAGGATTGAAATACAGAGATGATTGTAAACAAGCTTTTGTTGACCTCAAAGTTTTGACTCTCCCAGGTAAATACATCTTACAGATCTACTGGGTAGCTACAACAAAAAAAAGATCTGAACTGCTGGTCAACCTTAGTAAGAAAAGTCTCAAAACTCTAACCAAGTTTCTCTCGCGACATTGCAGACTGAATAGGCACCTACATAATCTGGGGTTGGAAGAAGGTAACACTTGCAGATTCTGTGAAGACGGTGAAGAAACACCTTACCATCTTCTACCTAACTGCGATGCCGTAAGCCGCTCAAGAATGAAGAACTTGGGAAGTCCCCTTATACAGCTGGAAGACATTCCAGCCCTGGAACGGCTAGACATCCTAAAATTCCTAAAGGACCTAGGACTAGAGGGGCTGCTTTAAGCAGGAAACTTAGAACCGAACTTAGCAGCAGAAGGAGGGGTACAATAGATCAACCTTGGTCGCAGTGCAACTGACACCTCCAACACATACATACATACAAACATACAGAACTTGATGTATGTCAGGGAAGGTCATGACAGATTTATCCGGCATAGTGATGTTCATGATTATGACACAAGAAATAAAAATAACCTACAACCTATTTACCATCGTTTACATAGGTGTCAAAATGACCCTGGATATCATTCTATAAATTTCTTCAATAAAATTCCAGAACCCCTAAAAAATCTAAGCAGAATCCAATTTAAGAGGAAAGTTAAAGACTTGCTAATTGAATGTGCATTTTATTCAATAGAAATTCAGCAACTCCACACTTGTTTGGGTAGGAAATAAATTGCTATCACTGTGATAAATAGAATTAGGTGCTCTAACATTTTTTTAATGCCGTCTTAACCTAATGTTTGTACAAGTGTTTGTATTATGTCTGATGTATTTTAATGTATATTTTAAAGTGTTTTGATTTCTATTTTATTTTAAAGTGTTTGAATGTATTTTAAATTGTGTTAATAATATAATATCTAAGAAAGTGTTAATTGTAAATTTTAAGCTACTTTGTGAAATCTTTTTTTAAAATGAAATGTACTACTATTTTTTGACATGTGTAAACACATAAGTGTAAATGGCACAAAATAAATGATTTGATTTGAATCAAAATAGGTACTCTGTATTAAAACACAGCAAAACAAGCTCCAAAATAAGGGTGGCAGGAACCAAATGATTACAGTTCAAATAGTAGTTGTTTTTTTTTCCTAGAAATATCATTTTAAAATATGTAAGTAGGCTCAATCCAAGACCAAAAATATATAATTAGGTAATACCTATTATTTCGAATTGTAAGTACTTATATGGGAAATATAGGATTTGACGAGGGATTTGATATAAGTATCTATTTAGCCTGGTATTTGGATAGTGCTATCCAGAGTTCAGAAAAATCGAAAATCAATACATGGAACATTAAGGGCTAATTAAATTCCCTTGAAAAATTTGAGGCTCCGCCAATTTTTGCGAAAATGGCTGTTCTGCTAGCGTTAACTTAAGCCAGAAGATCATGACCGAAAATGTGACTAAAACAACCAAAATTGCAATTCCACTTGCAGACACATTGAAGGCTCTGGAAATCGAGCCGGAAATACACCAATCGCAAATTTCAGGCTCAATTACTTCTTTGATTTAGTAAGTTTTTGGAAATTTATAAATAGGAAAAGAACATCGGGTAATATTCCTAAAAATATGGTTCTTAATAATTCTTTGGCTACAAATGGTCAGGAGATTGTTGACTTGTTTGCGGATCACTTTTCATCTGTTTACACTAATAATAATTCAACAACACCAGACAGGTCTTATAGCCATTTATATGTGGACTGCCCTATCATAAGTGTTTCAGAGGTGTTTGATAAACTAGGTTCTTTACCTAATAAAGTAATGATAGGACCTGATGGGATACCAAATGTAGTTCTGAAGCAATGCAGGTATTCATTATCTCATCCTTTGTGTGGGCTATCTAATTTATCATTGAATGCATCAATTTTCCCTGAAATTTGGAAAGAGAGTTACATCTCACCTATCTTTAAATCTGGCTCAAGAAATGACATAAAAAATTATCGTAGTGTATCTATTCAATCTTCTATTCCTAAGGTCTTTGACAGTTTGATGTATAGTCATTTAGCCTGGCAATGTAAGGAATTTATTATGGATGAGCAACATGGCTTTAGGGGGGGTCGGTCCACACTGACTAACTTGCTCATTTACCACAGTAAACTGTCGGATGCCTTGGAGAGGGGGTATCAGGTGGATGCTGTGTATACCGACTTCTCCAAGGCATTTGACAGAGTCAACCATGAGTTGCTCATTAAGAAGTTAACTAATTTGGGTTTTTCTGAAAGATTGGGTAAATGGTTACTTGGCTTTCTCGGGGGCAGAAGGCTCATGGTTAAAATTGGTAATTTTCATTCTAAGATTATTAAAGTCAGTTCCGGCGTACCCCAAGGGGGGCACTGCTCCCCTTTGCTATTTAGTTTGTTTGTTAATGACCTAAAAGAACACCTAAATAACTGCGAGTTTTTGATGTTTGCGGACGACCTTAAGTTATTTTCGATTATTGTTAGCGAGCTTGATGTTGGCCTTCTGCAAGGGGATTTGGATAGCCTATCTGAGTGGTGCAAGAAGAACTTACTAGATTTAAATATAGACAAATGTTTTCAGATTACATTTGGTAGAAAGAAAAATAAAATCCAATCTTCTTACCTATTGAATGGCCAACAGCTTAAGGTTAATGATGTGGCTAAGGATTTGGGAATATTGTTCGATTCTAGCTTAGATTTTACTGATCATATGAATCATCTGATTGTGAAGGCTAATAGAATGTTGGGCTTTACACTCAGAAATTGTGGCGATTTATCACTGGATGCGGTGAGATCTGTGTATTGTGGGCTAGTTAGATCTCAACTTGAATATGGTTCAGTTATATGGACACCTCACTATAACATTTATAAGACTATGTTGGAAAGTAGTCAGCATAAATTTTTGAGATATTGCAATTACAAATTTAATTTAGGACTGATTGCTAACCATGACTATACTGATATTTTAAAACACTTCAGATTGCTTCCGTTGGAGAAGAGAAGGATTATGTTTGATGTTTGTATGATATTCAAACTGCTGAATGGGGTTATTTCATGTCCTTATTTACTTTCTCAAGTTAATTTTGCTGTTCCTCAAAGATTGTTAAGATAAAATAATTTATTTCTTATTGGGTTTCACAGAACTAATTATGGGAAGCATTCTTTTATGGATAGAACTCTTGATTTTTTGAATGGGGAGGATAGGCTAGATATTTTTAATGATTCTTTTCAGTCTTTGTTTGGAAAAGTCTGATTAAAATTGCAAAGTAGTAGTAGTAAACTAACCAGGTTATTATCGGTAACCTGTAAGTATATTTTATGTAAATAGGGATTTTTTGAAGCACATGAATCACACTGTTATCTAGACTTCCAGTTTTCAACCAGGTTGAGATTGTATAAAATGTCTGCAAAAACTTAAGAGGAACAGTAGGTCAATTATGTGCACATCTGTAAGCAAATCTATAACTTTCAATAAGCCTATAGACAATTTTTGCGCTTCCTGTAGCTTACAGAAAATATTATAGAATCGGAAATATTTCTGATCAGGTGTTCGTCAATTAATGCCTCTTACAACCAATTGCGTCACTGTACCAAGATAAGGCATTTACGTTTACAGAAAGTATCCCAGAATTGCCATTTTTACGATTCTATAAACACAAAATTACAGATCATGGTGATAAATTTAGAAATTTATAGAAATTTTACGAGTGAACCTAAAATTGAACAATATTACCTTGAAAATTACTTTTTTTAAATTTTATTGTTAGATAAGGTAGAATTTTGCCTTGGCATTGAAGATTGCCTATCTTATAGTTCAAACCAAATCATTGTTGAGGCATTTATCATTTACAAATGTCTCGACAAATGTGATAAAGTAATGAAAAGGAAATTGTTAACTGTATTCAAGAATTTACAAAGAATGATAGGTAGCTATTTTCTCGGCTATCTTAGAAATAGTTTTTATAGAAAAGTAGTACCTTGAGATAATAAACTATAAATAAATTTTCAGTGCCCAAGTCATACCTATTCTGCGCTATTTGGAAAAGTTTACGCCCTGCACAGCAATAAAGTGCTTTTTGAAGCTTTTAACAAACAAAGTTCAACCGAGAGTTCAACTTATCTTTTATAATATAATTCAATTCATTGGAGTTACCAGATCTTAGAGGCTTGAGTATAAGAGTATACAGACCAACTTTTGGTTAGTTTGAAATAGCAACTAAGTCCTACTACCAAGTACACATATTAGTTGAATAAAACAATTATTTACTCACCATATATAACAGCTAAGCCAGTTTCGTGTATGAAACTAAGTCTACGATGTTTAAACAACCATATTGTAAGAACTGTTAATATAAGTAAAAGAGTATAGGAGAGTAAGTTTAAACTATCTATCCTATGGGTAGATTGCGCCTTAGCATCCAGCTGAATATCAGATGCAGCTCCATGAACATTATCTATCAAAAATTGTATTGTTAAACTTAAAACGAAGAGACCTGGTTTTGTCATGCTTAAAAATTGCACTCAAACTATTGATGTTAAAATTGAGATATCTTCAACGTGTGACGATTTCTAACTTTTTGTGCGATTTCACGCTACAAGTACATGACCACTGATTTTAAATTTATTTATCTTTTTCAGTATGACACACAATCCATTTTTATTTTGTTTACGGTCTTTAAAAATTTGAGTGGGGGGTGTCGTGTTGAGAGACGCGTTCGAGAACTTGTGGCGCGGCGATTTCCATTGGTAAAACAAGTGCATGTTTTTATTTTCTATTTGGAAATCAGGGCAACGATTTTTGCTCCAAGTGCAGTTTTAACGGCAGAAGCTCGAATGCGTTGTCATTGGATTTAAATTTGCGCCTTGCGGAAAATCTTCAAGAGTTGCAGAAATTTGAAAACGAAAGGTTAGTTTGTTTATGTTGTTCGGAGCAGCGCTTCCTGCATTGGGGTGTTCGTTTGTGTTTCGCAATGAACTGACGAGCGTTCGTTTGTGAAGTGCAGATTTTACCAAACTGTTTAGTTCATCTTCAATCTGCACTTGTCTCGAGGACGAGTGAGATAAGGCAGCCTAGAATTAAATGTCAAAAACGCCACGGTTTACGATTCCACCATTTAGCCTAGTACTCATAACTGGGAAATTCGCACTTTTTTGACATTGCTTCGACAATTTGATGTTTGATTCACGCATAAAACGTCAATTTGTAGAAGTATTGTCAAAAAAGTGCGAATTTCGCAGTTATGAGTACTAGGCTTAAAGCAATTTGTCGCGAGGATAACCAAGCATAATCTTTTGCTGGATTAATTGTATTCCTAAAGCCTAGAACTCATAACTGCGAAATTTGGAATTTTTTGACATTGCTTCGACAAATTGACATTATATGCGTGAGTTAAACGTCAAATTGTCGAAGCAATGTCAAAAAATTCCGAATTTCGCAGTTATGAGTACTAGGCTTTACAAGAGTTTAGAACACTAGAGCTACTCGCTCCGGTTTTAGTCGACCCCAATTTGAAAGAAATAGATGCATTGGCATTCGTGCATTTAAATGATTTGATTCGGGCTTGAGCACTTCAGAGCCGCTTTCCAGTATGCACATTGGCGCGCTCTAGAGCACCTCAGGGGCGCCACGCACTAGATTTGTACCGTTCCAGTATCATGGCGTAAGACGCCTGTCCAAGGGCGGGTATTATAAAACTGCTTCGACAGTTAACTTGAAGTTAACTTTTTGAATTACATGTAATTCCAGAAGTTAACTTTAAGTTAACTCTAAAAGTAGTTTTATAATACCCGCCCTTAGTGTCAAATATGTCAAATTTTAAAAATAATTATCTGCCCCCGAATTCTGTTTTACGAATCGAGTCGGATTGTCTCGATATCGAATACGACAGCTTCGGACGTACCGTGTAAACATATTGAAATATTAGAAAGTTCTCGTGCCTCACACGCTACGCTAATACGGTACCGCTAACAATACGGTATTTCACATGGTATTTTAGAGTTCTCGGACACAAAGACACATAAATCCTCTAATCCCTTATTCTGTTTACATTTTGACAGCTAATTTGAGTGATCTAACCCAACTTTTTTTTGCTTATTTTCTAACTTTTAATCCTGAAGATTCATGAGCTTGATTAATGTTCCCTTGGTGTTTTTATGGAGGAATTATCAGAAGTTGCTGTTTTTGCAGACATAAATGGAGCGTAACCTATTTTTGACATAGCATAGCGTTACGGTACGGCATCCGCTAAGTTCCCTTAGATAGCGGGCCCCGCTAACGCTAATACCGTAAGAACTGTCATACTTGTCAAATAGCGTTACGATATTTGAAATTTCGACGGCACGAGAACTCTCTATGTAAAATAGAATCGCTATTTTGACAATTCGATACGAATTACGACTCGACTCGTAAAATAGAATCCGGCAGCTGTTTGTTTGTGCAGTTTGTCTTTTTATTTATCAAAAATGAAACCGCCCATACTGGAAAGCGGCTCAGGGTGCAACAAACACTTTTCGAAAGGAATAAACGCGTAACGCCCCGGAGCTGTTCCGGAGCTCTTCCTAGGTGTGAAAGGGATTCAACTTTATATGTGATGTGTCAATTATTGTGTCATGCTCCCCTAACTTCCCCGCCAACAAATACTGTGATACTCGAGGATCAAGAACACCTAATTTCTTCTGTGAGAAAAGACCGGAAATCATCTTTTCTACATTCAAAATTGACGAAAAAATTAACTCACTAGCACAGCCTGAATCGCAAGCATTCCATCGAGGTGACGTCATCACTGTAGGCCGCTGATAGTGACGTCACTCGCAGGCCCAGAATTTGAAGGAAAGGGAGTTAGGGAGGATTTTCACGCATCCGTTTTTCCGTCGAAATATGTCCGTTTAACATTCTATTCTGACATATTTATATACGATTATGTCAGAATAGAATGTTAAACGGACATATTTCGACGGAAAAACGGATGCATGAAAATCCTCCCTTAGGGGAGTCTGACTCAATTGACTCATCACATAACCCAGCAAAATCAGGGGCGAGTTCGGGAATGACACACCCAGTGTGAGTGTGACACCGGTGCGACGCCCTGGCTGTTCAAAAATGCCAGACCTATGGGCCCAATGGCCAATTGTCAATTCAGGCACACCCATGAAATCGCACTCGTACCCTGTGCGTTATTTGTGAACTCGGCCTAGATTAAGCTTGATTATCCTCGCGAAAAATTGATTATTCTTCTGTATATAAAAAAGGGTGGCAGCCTGCAACGTCTTAGTACTCTCCATTATCCTCATCACTTGTTAAAACAAATTCGATTTCGACATCTTCATCCGTTATTTTTATAAAAAATCTACAATTGTCCAAATCTGCCATAAATCAAATCCAGAAATCCACAAAATAGTAAATAATCGGAATACAAATATTAATAATCTTAACCTCACAAAGTAAAAATCATAATAGAAATTCTTTTTCATAATAAAAATTAGAAAATTGTTAAATTTTCAATAATGTATGCAAAATTATTTTTCCCGCGCACGAGAATATAAAATGTTCAATCTTATAACAAGAAATAAATAGATAAATAGCCACCCACGGATGTGACAGCTGATAGGTTGACGCGTACGTACAGCTCGGGAGCTCAACGCCCCGAGTAGCTCCGGGCGTCATACTCCCATACTGGAAAGCGGCTGAACTAGCGATACGGAAATCCCGTCACGATATATTTTTCAACGTAGATAAGAAAATGAATTTTTTATGAAAAATATTATTTAATTTTGATTAACATAAAAGGCAAAGAGGAAGATGCACACGAGATCTAAAAAAAGGTTGTTGAATGTTAATTATAGGTCTGTTTCTGCAGAAATCACAAACCAGTCAGATCGAATTTAATTGGTTGAAAACAATCAGAAACAGTCAGAAAACTAGTTTCAACCAATGAAATTCATTCTGACCGGTTTGTTATGTCTGCAGAAACAGACCTTATAATGTACTAAACCTCTAAAACCAAGTATTCATAATTTTGCGCGAGGCGGAATCCTAACCTGTGGTGCAAACACGTACTCTAGTCAAGGCGAAAAACGACACGTTGATCGGTCATCACTGGTACTTGGTCATGGTAGGGGGCTTGAGATTTGAACTACATAGGCCCTATGAGGATAGGCTATCCCGTGTAGTATGTGTAATATCACAGGTAATATCCTTGGCCACAGGCACACTAGGCCTTTTCGCAAGGACACTTGACTCATAGGATTGTTAATTGAGCTGAAAGTAGGTCTGCTCTCACAGAAATCACAAACCAGTCGAAGCGATTTTGATTGGTGCAAATCGCCAAAAGTTTTCTGACTATTTTCAACAATGCCGGGCTTAGTGAACGCATAAGCGCAATTTTAATAATTTATCGTAGTGACTTCCATAATAAATGTTAACAGATTGCATAACCATAAGGTATTAAGGGTGTTTCCCGAGGGAGTAATTTAATACATAGCTGTTTTCTCGCGTTCACTTTTTTGAAACTGGTTCAAAACAGGTTTGAAACAGTAGGCTATTTTTCGCGACATAATTTTTCCAAAGAATGTTCGATTATGTTGTGTTATAGATAGTTATAGACGTTATAGTCCGTAATATGAGGATTATCCAAACGTTTCGAAATACAATCCATTCCGCTTTTAAAACCATTTTCTCGCTCCGAGAAGTTATGACGTCATTGTGAAACTGTTTTAAACCAATTTTGAGACGTGAGAAAACACCTCAAATCAACTGGAATACTAAAACCAAAGCTGTTTTCTCGCGTTCACTTTTTCGAAACTGGTTCAAAACAGGTTTGACATAGTATATTCTCGCGATGATCCCATGACGTCATACAAAATTGGTTCAAACCGCTTCGAAATACAATCCAATCCACATTTTTAAACCATTTTCTCCTCCGAGAATTTATGACGTCATTGTGAAACTGTTTTAAACCAGTTTTGAAGACGCGAGAAAACACCTCTGGTATGCATAAAGCCTGTACTCATAACCGCGAAATTCGCTCTTTTTTGACATTGCTTCGACAATTTGACGTTAAATTGATTCACGCATAAAACGTCAAATTGTCGAAGCAATGTAAAAAAACAGCGAATTTCGCTGTTATGAGTAATATACTGTATTCCTTTTATACATCGAGTTACACCTAACGAGCTCCTCGGAGTCACTCCAAAACACACAATTCAGATTTTATCATTATTTTTTAATATTAACATTACCGTCATTACCTAAGGGCGGGTATTATAAAACTACTTTGAGAGTTAACTTAAAGTTAACTTCTGGAATTACATGTACTTAGGGCGGGTATTATAAAACTGCTTTCACAGTTAACTTGAAGTTAACTTTTTGAATTACATGTAATTCCAGAAGTTAACTTTAAGTTTACTCTCAAATTAGTTTTATAATACCCGCCCTTAATTCAAAAAGTTAACTTAAAGTTAACTGTCAGAGCAGTTTTATAATACCCACCCTAAAAGGACTTCTTGCACCCCCCACAAATTTGGTGCATCAGGGAAAAGGGGGATGCACTTTGAGCGACTCGAGTGCTTGACGCACTTTTAAAAGGAACGTTTAAGCTTTTGACATTGAGCAGCTCCGAGTTACTCAGCGGGTAAAAGGAATACAGTAAAAGGCTTTAAGCACAAGCCGGCGGAATCATAGCCTGTGGTGCAAACACCCTACGTCAAGGCGAGAAACGACACGCTGTCTACGTCATCACTGGCTCTGTGGCGTGGTTTGACGGCTTGAGATTTGATCTACACAGGCTATCACCTTTTCTATATTTAAAATCAACGAAAAAACCAGCTCACAGGCACAGCCTGAATCGCAATTCGCAAGCAATCCCTAGAGGTCTGCGGGTGATGTCACCACTATCAGCTGAGGTGTTTTCTCGCGTCTCAAAGTTTTGAAACATTTTTCAAAACTGGTTTAAAACAGTTCCACAATGACGACGTCATTTCTCGACGCGAGAAAATGGTTTTAAAACTTAGATTGGATTGTATTTCGAAACGGTTTGAACCAATTTTGATGTGACGTCATGAATTCATCGCGAGAATATACTATTTCAAACCTGTTTTGAACCAGTTTCAAAAAAGTTAACGCGAGAAGACAGCTCTGCTGATAATACTGACATCACCCGCAGGCCAGCTGACGACTCAAGACTGACGAACGTACGCCTTGGGAGGATTTTCATGCATCCGTTTTTCCGTCGAAATATGTCCGAAAAGTCTTCTATTTTGACATATTTATATACGATTATGTCAGAATAGAATGTTTAACGGACATATTTCGTCGGAAAAACGGATGCATGAAAATCCTCCCTTATTGAGCAATCCTATTTGGGTGGAGTATTCTTGGCCTTACGGAAACGCTGATCACAATTCACAATAGTTGTATTCCTTTCACACCTCGGAGCAGCTCCGGGACAGCTCCGGGGCTACACGCCCCTATTCCTTTCGAAAAGTGTTTGTTGCGCCGATCAGTGGTTGCAGCACCACGCATCTGTTCCCTGCAAATCGGGGGCGACTGAATACCAGAGCGAGTAGCTCGAGTGTTTCAAACTCTTGAAAGGAATACAACTATTGATCCGATTATCCCGATCACCATCTGATTGTTTTTCATCTTACTTTAACAAACACTATTGGAAAAAGATAATTTCATCAGCTATTGGACTAATCGAATCACCGTTTCTTTTCTACCACAGCCCACAACTAACTAGTTTAAATTATTCGATAACTTGGATGGCCGCCATGGCCGGCCTCACACAGGCCGGAATGTCTTTCTGAATTCAGAAACGAAATTCTGAATCTGAATTCCGAACGTACGGAATTGTATATATTTTTATTATACAGCACACACATGATTTTTCAGATTATGAATTTTTCAGATCGACTCTGATTTTCCAGAGTGACTCTGACGAGAAGTTTGAATTCTGGATCTGAAAAATAAGGATTAATTCATAACGCATGTTTTTCCATAGGTAGGTATGTTTCACATATACAAGCTCACGCACAGCCGGAATTCAGATTATGATTCTTCCCTTTCAATCAACACCGCTCAAAAGATGCCGCAAACTACGAGAATTACTGGTAACGGAATTTTTAAGATGTCTGCGGCAATGTGTGGAATTCAGATCCTAAATTCTGTTCCTGAATTCAGAAAGACGTTCCGGCTGTGTGAGGCTGGCGCCTTAACCATTTATGATAATCATCCCATTCATTCAACACTCGGGATTAATGATTGATTCGGAATTTATAAAAGCTATCCTAGAAGAATTATAGTCCGGGGGCCGAGGACCTTTTTTCCAAATCATTAATAACAAGCTAGTTTTTTCCATACAGCTTCATTTCACCGAGACGCCCAACTTTTTTCTCTTCGAAAATTGCGAAAACAGGTAGCTAACATACTGCGCAGGTGTAAAACATGTCGATTTGGTGACTATGAAAATTTAATTAATAACAGTTAGTTTTTCAGCTAAATGTTGAGATAATTTTATGAATAATTTGAAACAACATTTGTCCGACAAAATAAAGGGTTTGGTCTACGATTCTACGATGTCCCCCCCCTCAAACATGTAGCAATTACGTTGAATAAAAAATGATTAATAACAAGTTGATTTTTTCAATGTAGGTTGGTAAATATTATTACAATTAAATGGTCACACTGTCCTACAAATAAACAGGTAGCTATTTTCAGTCCTACACTCTAAAGTTGTCGATTTCACGATTTAACTTTTTTCATTAATAACCGGCTAAATCTTCGTGAGTATCTTCATTTTGATAAGACGCCCAAATTTTCTGTTGCGAAAATTTCAAAAACAGGTAGCTAACACAGTGTGCAGGTGGAAAACATGTCTATTTGGTGATCATACAAATGTAAATAATAACAGTTAATTTTGTAGCTGAATGTTGAGATAGTTTCATAAATAATATGAAACAACATTTGTCCGACAAAATAAATGGTTTGATCTAGACTGTCTCCCTTCTCAAACCTGTAGCAGATACGTTACATAAAAAAATAATTTATAACCAGTTGATTTTTTTAATGTAGCTTAGTAAATATTACTACAATTAAATGGTTACACTGTCCTACAAATAAAGAGGTACATTTCTCCAGTCCTACACTCAAAAGTTGTCGACTTCACGGTAATACTTTATTCATCAATCACCGGCTAAATCTTCTCGAGCATCTTCGTATTGATAATACGCCTAACTTTTCTATTGCGAAAAGTTTCAAAAGAAGTAGCTACTAAAGTGAGCATTAGTGAGCACATGTAAAATACCTTGATTAGGTGATTATGCAAATGTAATTATTAACAGTTAACAGTTAATTTTTCAGGTGAATAATGAGATAATTTCATAAATAATTCGAAATTCGTTTTGAGCCACAAAATTAATGGTTTGGTCTGCAGTGTCCCCTTTCTCAAAAATGAAGCAATTACTGGCTCATAAAAAACGATTTATAACCAGTTGATTTTTTTACTGTAGTTTGGTAAATATAACTATAATTGAATGGTCACATTATCCTAAAGAGGAAAGATTTCTCAGCCCTACATTCGAGAATTTCGGAAATAGCCTTATGCATATTATACGTAAATATGTACAGGGCTTTCATTTCAAAACTTGCGACTCACGTTATCTGCGTAAATAGACAGATTTCTAGAAATCGCCGAAACATGTCAACAAAATTGAGGGGGTGCGTTAATTTGTTGACATATTCCGGCGATTTCCAGAAATCTGTCTCTTTAGGCAGATAACGTGGGTGGCAAATTTCGAAATGAAAGCCCCTGTATGTACATATGTACGTATACAGATGCGTCTATAACAGTATATGTGTTATGTGTTTTCTAAGTTAGAGTTTTTCTTTTTAAATAACGTGGAACTTAAAAAAATACAGGAGTTTTCCAAATAATATTTTCTCGACAGCTGAAAAATAAAAGAGATAGGTATGTTCATTTGAAATAATATCAAAAATCAAATATTTTAATAATTATATTTTTCAAAATACAAAAGGTAAAATTCTTGAATTTAATCTTTTTTTCCAGAAATCTGTCTCTTTACGCAGATAACGTGGGTGGTAAGGTTTGAAATGAAAGCCCTGTACATATTTACGTATAATATGCATAAGGCTATTTTCGAAATTCTCGAATGTAGGGCTGAGAAATCTTACCTCTTTAGGACAATGTGACCATTCAATTGTAGGTAGTTATATTTACCAAACTACAGTAAAAAAATCAACTTGTTATAAATCGTTTTTTATGAGCCAGTAATTGCTACGTTTTTGAGAAAGGGGACACTGAAGACCAAACCATTTATTTTGTGGCTCAAATCGAATTTCGAATTATTTATAAAATTATCTCATTATTCACCTGAAAAATTAACTGTTAACTGTTTGTATAATCACCTAATCAAGGTATTTTACTTGTGCTCACTCTAGTAGCTACTACTTCTGCAACTTTTCGCAATATAAAAGTTAGGCGTATTATCAATACGAAGATGCTCGAGAAGATTAAGCCGGTGTTCGGTGATTGATGAATAAAGTATTACCGTGAAGTCGACAACTTTTGAGTGTAGGACTGGAGAAATATACCTCTTTATTTGTAGGACAGTGTAACCATTAAATTGTAGTAATATTTACTAAGCTACATTAAAAAAATCAACTGGATATAAATCATTTTTTATGTAACGTATCTGCTACAGGTTTGAGAAGGGAGACAGCCTAGATCAAACCATTTATTTTGTCGGACAAATGTTGTTTCATATTATTTATGAAACTATCTCAACATTCAGCTACAAAATTAACTGTTATTATTTACATTTGTATGATCACCAAATAGACATGTTTTCCACCTGCGCACTCTGTTAGCTACCTGTTTTTGGAATTTTAGCAACAGAAAATTTGGGCGTCTTATCAAAATGAAGATACTCACGAAGATTTAGCCGGTTATTAATGAAAAAAGTTAAATCGTGAAATCGACAACTTTTGAGTGTAGGACTGAAAATAGCTACCTGTTTATTTGTAGGACAGTGTGACCATTTAATTGTAATAATATTTACCAACCTACATTGAAAAAATCAACTTGTTATTAATCATTTTTTATGCAACCTAATTGCTGCATGTTTGAGGGGGGGGACATCGTAGACCAAACCCTTTATTTTGTCGGACAAATGTTGTTTCAAATTATTCATAAAATTATCTCAACATTTAGCTGAAAAACTAACTGTTATTAATTAAATTTTCATAGTCACCAAATCGACATGTTTTACACCTGCGCAGTATGTTAGCTACCTGTTTTCGCAATTTTCGAAGAGAAAAAAGTTGGGCGTCTAGGTGAAATGAAGCTGCATTGAAAAAACTAGCTTGTTATTAATGATTTGGAAAAAAGGTCCGCGGCCCCCGGACTATTATTTGTCGTTCTCTTTCGTTGGAAAATAGCTCTAGTGCAGTTCAAGCCTTCACTTTGTAATGAGTGTCAAATGACTGTTGCACTAGTTCGCAATATCATCGTATAGGATGAAAAATTTAATGCGTTGCGCGCTCTCGGTTGCGCACTGTTTGCAATTTTAAGGTTAGTTTTTAATGTTTTCGGTTTGATTGAAGCTTAGCTAGCTTTTGAAAATTGGTCCCTCTTTAATCATTTCATTTAGGATTTTGCTGCGGTTTATAAGTAAACGTGCGAAACAATCATAAGCTTATTCAAAAATTCACTAAAATATCGAGCTTTTATTCAAAAATGACAGAAATAAGCCCTTTGGAGTATTTCTTGTGTGGAGGGTTTGGTGGTATTTGTACAATACTTGTTGGTCATCCATTGGATACTATTAAAGTAAGTTGAATTGTCAATAAAATGGAAAAATGCTAATTTTTTCTCAGTTTAATAAAACGAATTTTTGGTTTTCAATTTGTTACCAAGTACCTAACCAAGCTTGTTACACAATATTTGGTGCATTAGGTAAAAGCAATGACTTAATACTAGCTAGTTGACCGAAAAAGTAGCCAACTTTTTGACAATGTTGGTTTTCATTATTGTTCCTTTTTTACATGGCATGGGTGGGTCCATAAAATTTATTTTTTTATAAAGCCAGAACATAGCCAGAAACCTATCATCGTTTATGGAGGCTTAAAGAGAGCACTGGAGTAGTCATGGAAGAAAATAAACAAAACATTTTGTTTCTGTTTTAGGTACCTATCTATATATAAGGCATTCTCAGTGGTGAAGTTCTTGACATTCCTATTTTTACAGTGTGCATAATTCCATCAATAATAATAATGAGCATTATTGCCACAGCTAAGAGACTTGCGGTCTTTCTATTATATCAACTTTTCTGTGTAGCTTTGCATGTAGTGATTTATGCCCTTTATTTCATTTATTTTTCATTGCTTATAATATTTGGCTCATTACAAATAGTCGTGACTCTCGTTGTCCTACTTGCACCTGAAGGTTGGGTTAGATATCTATCATGGTGTATGTTTTAAGCTCGGTGGTAAGACCCAAAATAATTATTGATCAATAAAAGGGCATGCTTTTTTTTTGTGTGCTTTTTTTCAAGCTTTTTTTAAAGTTTCAATATTTTGTCAAAAATATGAAATAATATACATTTTTATTTGCAGGTAAGGTTACAAACTATGCCACTACCAAAATTAGGAGAATCACCTTATTACAGCAGCACATTAGATTGTTGTAAAAAAACTATTGTAAATGAAGGCTTATTAGGGCTTTATAAAGGCATGGGTGCTCCTTTAATGGGGGTAGCACCAGTTTTTGCTATTTCTTTCATGGGTTACGGCGTTGGAAAACAAATATTTTGCCCTGCCGTGCCATCTGAACACACCTATTTGCAATACTTCACAGCAGGTGCTTTCTCTGGAATATTTACTACCTCTGTGATGGCACCAGGGGAACGGATAAAGTGTCTGTTACAAACTCAGGAGAGGAAGGGAAAAATTAAAATGTATGATGGTCCAGTAGACGTTGTGAAAAAGCTTTATTCACAAGGAGGTGTTTCTGCCATTTATCGAGGAGCTGGAGCAACTTTACTTAGAGGTATGGTAAGAAGGAATTTAATATTGAAAAGCTATCTTGGAGTTGTGGCCAATATGCTTCTAATCGGCATTTGAACATTGAGAAGCATACAATATCTTTTTTATATTATTTATTTCAGATCTATAAACCATTCACAAAATTCGTATGAATGTTTCCAAACTATTCTATCGGGTCTTCAAAAAAAAAAAAACAATCAAAGATTGCTTTGATTACGAAAGCGTACGTCGCATTATTGTTTTTAATTAGGCAACGGCCTTGGTCAGGATTTTTGACATTAACGTTCATTGACAAAATTAAAGAAAAAATTTGTTAAGGCCTTGCTAAGACATATGTTTAAAAAACCATAGCAATCTTTGATTGTTTTTTTTTTTTTGAAGACGCGATATAACTACAAAAGAATGATATTCTATATTGCTGTATAATTTGAATTGTTTATACCTTCACTTAAAATATTAGGTCTCTCTCAAAATATTTTTCTTAAACTAGTCTAATAAATTAAATTCTTTATAGTTTTTAAAATTTTCTTGGAGGGTACGGGTTTATTTTATTATTCACCAAATCATTCAATTCCATAGAATTAATTTTAATATTATTTAAATCATTATCCATATCACTTGCTTGTGGCGGGCTTTCAGGATCAATGTCTTCAACTTTAACTTGGTGAGTTAAAAGAGCATGCTTTTTGAGTTTATAATTTAAATATTTAGTCTTTCTCAATTTTACTTTCAATTTTTGCCTTTCAGCTTTTGTCAGTATTGATTTTGATGTAGTTGCTGCATCGTAGTTTTTAATAGTCTCATTTAAGGTTGTTAAAGATGTAACGTTTTTATTCTTCACATATTGCATTATTTTGGGTCTATAATCGGGACATTTGAAAATTTTTTTCATTGCATGAAAGACACTCCAATTTTTATATTGTTCTGGTTCAGCGCACTTGGGAGATACTCTTGTATCATATGAGTATTTAATTTCAAATCTATTTTCTATATTAGCACACCCTATACCTTTGTCATGAACAAATTCACATGGTTTTAAAGATTTGTGTTTTATTCTGCTGGCGATTATTGGTTTCCATTCACTCATTTCACATGTACAATGCCATGGATTTTCATTAATCCTCAACAATTTGGGATGTACTCTTGAAAAAATGTCTCTAGGAAGAGTCTTGAATTTATTTCCATTAAGATATAATTCCCTTAGGCTTTCCAAATCATCAAATACCCCTGTCGGGATATATTCGAGATGATTTTTTGAAATATCTAGATATTTAAGCTTCGTTAAACCCATAAACCCATCCATAGATATATTATAAATCCTACAATTACTTAAAATTAAAGTTTCTAAATTGGCTATTTCCTGAAAAGCATCAAACTCAATTTTACTAATATTTCCTGTCAAAATAATTTGCTTTAATTGAGGCATTCCAACAAAAAGGTCTCTTTTCAATAAATAAACATTAACATTATTGACAGTCAATGTTTTAAGCATGCGAAGGCCTGCGAATGAATTTGGTAAAAGTTTCAAAGTAACATGCTCACTGCCAATAATAAGTGAGTCAGTTGTATTCATCACTTCAAAAGTATTTGGAAAAATTATTTCAATGGGATTGTTTGCAAAATTAGCTAACTTTAGTTTGGGAAAAGGTGGGAAAGACAATTCCGATAGTTGAGTAAAATTATTATAAGTTAGATCTAAATATTCTAGTTGCAACAACCCTGCTAAGTCAGTAATTTCAATATCTAGAAGTTTGTTATGAGCAAGTGAGAGACTTTTAATGTTGGGAGTACCATAAAAAGCAAAAGCAGGCATAAATGTAAAATTGTTTCTCTCTAAAATAAGATATTGTAGCTCGTTGAGCCCATCAAACATTTCCCAGTGAATGCTATTTAATTCACAATTTGTTATTCTCAAAAGAAAAAGCTTATTGAAGCCAATAAATAAAGGTATTTCCCCATTGTTAGATCGTTGCTCTTTAAAAACCTCAAAAGGCACAATTTCTTCATTTGATGAGCTTTTCTGAATCAACGTCAATGGATGAAGACTTTCATCAACTTTTTGAACATATTCAAAAGTAATATTTTCACTTTCTTTCATTACTTCCAAAAATGATTGTATTTGTTCTTTAGAATTTTTTACCAAAACTCGTTCTAAATTCAAATAATTTAAATTATCTAAAGCATCGTCTATATGACAGAGTAGATGGTTAGTAACATCCTTATGAAAAACTGATGGCCCAATTAATTCAAGACTAATAAGTTTCTCGAATTTACTTAACCAGCTAAATTTGATTGTTTTATTTCCTGACTGATAAGCTTGGATAAATGTTAGGCCTTCAATATTTGGAGGTAATGAATCTATCAACTCCATCGGATCAGTTTCGGTTTGTAATATGCAGGTTGCAGATCTGACAATTATATTCCGATGAGCTTCATCTAGAAGGTCTACAGGATCTAAGGTTTCATCATAGACCACCTGAAATAAGATTATAAAAATATGGAGAACTGATTTGGTCACAATACACTAGGACTCGGAATTTAAAAAAAAAAATCTTTTTGAATGTTTGTTCAAGAATTTATTTTATTGGCACAGCACCATTTATAGCAGTGGTTCCCAAACTTTTTTCTTCTGCGCCCCCTTTCTGAAATCAAGAAGTAGTCGCGCCCCCCTTTCTTCCCCCATTATACCCCGCATTATACAAAAACATTTTTTTTTACTTACTGTCTCGTCTGAACAGAGACGCTTTCGGGTGCTCTTAGAACACTTCACACCCGTCAGTGACTCGTCATACTCCACGCGTTTTGCACTCGAACGCTTGAAACCGAACGGGTCAAACTGTAGCCGGAGTAACTCGGGAGCGCTCAACGGATGGCACCCGAAAGCAGTTCTGAACTTTGGAAGGGGAGGAATTGGCATGACAGTGGGCAGCGAGCGTGCGCTGTAGCAATTAGAGATGCCACGAATAGTGATTTGGCCGAATACCGAATATTCGGCCACGCTCTCGTTTGTAGCACCGAATATTCTGCCGCCGAATATTCGGCGGCAGATCTGTGGGTTTTGTGCAGACCAGTCTCATTCTTATCGCGTCGCCCCCGGAAACGACGGAATTTGGTTCACTTGAGAATAGTGTCACAATACGCAATTTTACGCATTATTAGCTATATTCTTTTGATCGCACGTTATTACTTATACTACTGTTTATCAGTTTATCTTTAGCAAAAGTTATCAAAATAGCACCAGTAATTAATGAAATGTCGCCTATTTAATAGCTTTTAAGTATTAGATTCATTGTGACTTGTTATTAAATAGATACACTTTTGAGTATTATGTGCGTTTTTTTTTTTTCATTATTCAGCTTTCGGTAGTCGGCCAAATATTCGGCCGGATAATACTATTCAGCCGAATACCGAATACAAAAAAAAAATGGCCAAATACCGAATAGTAGCCGAATATTCGTGGCATCTCTAGTAGCAATTATCGCATGGCAAAGTTGCTTTGGCTTAGTTATGCGCCCCCCAGTTTGGGAACCGCTGATTTATAGGATCAGAAAAAGTTGCTTTAAATTTAAGCACTAATCAAGTCGATTTGTAATTAAGTATACAATCAAATGCAAAAAAAAAACATTAACTTATTTGGATTTTTCAAATATTTGAATCTGATTCCGAGCCCTATCATGTAGGTACAGGGCTATTGGTTATAAATTGACAACCTACTTAAATCGCTTATCTTTGTAGTACCTAAGAAAAAAAGGTCAATATGAAAGTTGATTTGTTTAAAACCAGGATTTATCTGATAAAATATTTAATTTATACCAGGTGATACAATTTTTCTGTGTGTGCAGTTTCAAACTTCAAATGAAACAACCAACCATAATTTTATTTATTCTGTTGGATCTTTTCTTCCTGATTCTAAATACTTATTTTGTTGCATCTTTCTCATTCAGTTTTCCATTTATTACTATTTAATAATATTTGCCGTTGATTAGTTTAGGGCCAAATGCTTGCTACAACACTATTTCTATAGTAGGTGGACAATTTATAACCTATAACCTCATACATAATATAAAGAAGGAGGCACAATTAACATTGAAAATAGGCCCCCGTAAATTTCAACCAAATTTCAATATTTAAAGGTATCATCATTGCAAGAATAAATTTGAAATGTAAAGAGGATCGTATGTCTGTGATAGCAGATATAGCTCATCAAAGTACGTAGGTCCTGCTGTGCTATGCATAGGAAACATCCGAGGAAATATCCCTATGTAGATTTTCTTGAATATCTCGGAAAATACTTATCCGATTTTAACCTTTTTGGAGTTTGATACCTACAAAAGGACCCCAAAAACTTCAAAAGCGGATTAGTATTTTTCGAGATATTCAAGAAAATTTACGTAGACATATTTCCTCGGATATTTCTTATGCGTAGCATAGCAGGACCTACATACTTTGATGAGCTATATCTGCTATCACAGACATACGATCCTCTTTACATTTCAAATTTTTTCTTGCAATGATGATACCTTTAAAATATCGGAATTTGGTTGAAATTTACGGGGGCCTATTTTCAATGTTTATTGTGTCTCCTTCTTTGTACACTTTCTATTGACCATTCAATTGTGACTTACCTCATTGTTTTCCATTGGTCTCATCTCACCAGGCATAAATGTATTTTTGTCTTTTTGCATAAATCTGTAGATGGCCGTTTCTGTTAAATGTTGAAGCTGACAAGTACATATGAGTGGGCATGTCGATTCTCTTTCCCAAGCATAGATCTGTGAATATTAAGAATTGCAACATTTAAACACACAAATAGGAATCTCGCTTCATTAACAAGATCATAGAGGGTGTCCCACATAAAAGTAACTACATGGGGATTTCGGAAACGGTAAGAGTTACAGTTTTGGTTAAATAGAAGTTGTGGAATTTAACGCTTAATAAAATGGTACTTTGACATTTGAAATTCGGAACTTTTCAAGCGAGATATCCGGAAAAAAATGAAATTTTGCAAAATCGATTTTATTTTTTCCTGAGCTTATTTGAGGAGATATTTCAAAATAAATGCCACTTTATCAATTTTGAAATTTGACGTTTCGTCTTTGAGCTATCATCATCAACTTCATTTTGTTAAATACGAACCCTTATTTTCTATTTTAGATTTTATAACTTTCTTATGTCCCAAAACCAATGACGTATTGCACTTATTGGAAAAATTTATATTATTGGTACTTACCATAAGAACTTGATGTGTTAGAGAGAGACAGAAGAGAATTTTGGTAGAAAATTACTAAAAAGTAAAAAAAAAATATATATTTTTCCGAATAAATGCGATACGTCATAGGTTTTGGGACATCAGAAGCTCTTAAAATCTGAAATAAAAAATTCAGGGTCGTATTTAAAACAATAAAGTTGAGGATGGTGGCCCAAAAATGAAAAAAATATGCCCAAAAGCTAGGACATACCACTTTTAGTCCAAGAATTCCTGTTTCCTGTTGGTTTTGAAGCCAGAATGTTCTGTTCGTGGAAAAAGTAGGATAGTGTTGGTAAACTTCTTGAAATGCATCAAATTCAAAAAAAAAAAAAAAATGGTTCCCACGAAATTTCAGGAATAAGCAGTACTTAGTACACTCATGGTACAAGCTTCATTTTGGACGTTACGATAATTAAAATAAAAAACAAGGGATCTAAGCAGTGCGGTCCGGTTTAAGGATAACCACTGTTTTGTGGCATTTTGGAAAGTTTATTTTAAGAAATTTTCTAAATAAAAAGGCGAAATTTTGTGATCATGGTGTGAAAGTTGCTTTTTGATATACTCTGTTCCTATGTAAATTAAAAATTTTAATGACCTACAAACAAAAATGCTGTTGAACAAACAAAAATTTCTTGTGCGGGCCAATTGAGTAAACACATTTGCTTGTATGAACAGGATGCTACTAAGCTGTAGGTTTCTGGAGAAAATCCCAAAAGCTACAATGCTTTTTATGAACTAAAAAATTACTACAAATACCACTGTGTACTATTTTTATATATTAGATACTAGCAAATTTAATTAACCAGAAATATATACTTGTGAATTACTAGCCAAATTTCCTTAAATCGTTAATTTTATTGACCTGATTTTAGGCACAATGAGATTTTCATGTCTATATATATTGAACCTTCAAATCATGTTGATTCAATTACAGTATTCTATTCTTTGGTGAACAGTTATTATTTATGTCCATTAGTAGCAAATGTATCCTCAAAACAAAACCAATTTTGACTTGCAATATGTGTGTGGATCAAAAAATGCATTTTCTCCTTATCTATGATTCTATCGATGAATAGTATAGCATAATTCATTGACTACATAGAATCTTACATATCACATAGGTAATTTAGGTCAAAAATATAAATATTGATTGTATTTTTTAAATAAAAGTTATGCATTCATTTTTAAAAATCGGCAAAAAATATTTAAAATCACAAGTAAAATACAACCTCTGGATAACACCATATTTTTTGCCATCACATTTGACACGGGTAATATGTAATTAACTTACACTCAAACTAAAAATTCCCACAAATATTGTCAACTTTTTATATAAATCCATTTTTGGTCGTAGTTTATTTCACTTATACCAAGGAAGAACTTGTTAATGAGAATTTTATTGATGCGTTATATTTTACAGGATATTACCACCCACATATTTCCTTCAAAAGCTGAAATAAACTACAAAATAATCAAGTTTTATCTGCTTTCAAGTAATGGCCATTCCGTAAAGAATGATATTCTTGAGCAAAATTACTTTTAGAGACGTGAGAGAATTACCTGGATGCAACCTGTTCACGCGTTCTTTGACTTTTTAATACTCATCCTGATACTATCGATGCTTATTGTATCGCATTCAGAAAATGAATAATGTTGACTTTACATTTTTAATAACGAACTTATTTTGACTATTTTAGATGTTCCTGCTAGTGGACTCTATTTTTTAACCTACGAGGCTGTGAAACTTTACATGACTGACAATGGTAAATACCAGCTAAGCATTCTAGGAACTGTCTTTGCTGGAGGTTGTGCTGGCATAGCCAATTGGCTTATTGGTATGCCTCCTGATGTCCTGAAAAGTCGTTTACAGGCTGGTAAGTATTATTTAGTCATTAAACCAAAAAAAATTGCAATTATGCATTTACAGCACCTGAGGGGACTTATCCCAGAGGCATCAGGGATGTATTTAAAAATTTAATGAAGACTGAAGGACCGTTGGCGCTCTACAAGGGCATTACGCCAGTCCTCTTAAGAGCATTCCCAGCGAATGCAGCTTGCTTTTTAGGTTTTGAACTGTGCAAAAAGTTTCTAAATTATGTAATGCCAAGAGTGGACCACAATTCGGACCTCAAGTGACCTAATTTTTGTATTAGTTTTTTAGTAGTTTTTTTATTCCTTACTTTATTTGGTTGGGAAGTTAGGGGAATTTCAATGTGAATTTTAAATTTATCGAATCATATTATAGCATTGTGCTCCACTTTCCTGAACTGATATTTTTCTGGGTCGTTCCTAAATTAGGCCAAGTCATTTTAACTTGTTAAGGGTCATTTACATCCACTTAAAAATTAAGAAAATTAACGTAACACACGGAAAAGTTGAACCAACTTCAACTCAAGGAAATCCGTACCCTAATTTCAATAATAATTATAAATGAGAGACAGATTGAACTAGTCTGTTATTATCAGTGTCATTGGTGATTACACGTAGGAAAATAAACTTCATTCTTCATTGTAAACACAAACCTTCTCAGTTTCGTACGTTAATTATAATTTTCCGTACGTTAAGTTAAGTGGATGTAAATGACCCTTTACTCATCACATTGATTATTATGAATTGTTAGACGTGAGCTATTTTCGGGTTCGAAGAAAGGACGGTTCTAGAACGATTCAAAACAATCGCACAGTTCATCAATTAACAAAATAACAACGGCTCAGCTATCACCAATTTCAATAATAAACTGCGCGATTGTTTTGAACCGTTCTAGAACCGTCCTTTTTTCGAACCCGAAAAAAGCTAAAATAAGTGAAATTTCAGAAATTAAAGCAACCTGGCACCACAAAGGATAATGTTTGTTTTGTTTTATTTATAATCCAGTTTATGGTGGTAGCTAGCTCAATAATGTCTTGGTTGGCAATGCAACATTTGGAGTCACACTATATAATGTCATTAAATTGAAATGCTATTTTGTAGTATTACTAAAACAGCAATTTAGATTCGATAAATTTATCTTTTTTAATTTAATATTATTAGTTACTATTATTACTATTTTTGTACATTTATCGTATTTCTAAACTTGGAGGTGTTCTTGAATGCCGAGTAGAATTGGTTTATTCCTCCAAATTCAACTTGTCCAAGGAGTCCTTGGTGAAACGCTGGTTTTCCGATTTATAAAACCTGGAGTTTCAATAGATAATGTTTATGTTGTTCGTTATCTAGTCCCTGGTCTAGTCCTTAATTAGTAGTTAGTTAGTTGTCTTTTTGGTTACTACAAATGTCTATTTTGAATTTTTTTTGTCATATCCAGAACAAGATGAGGAAACCCGCAATAGCAACCTTATTTTTGTATTAGCATTAGCAGTCTTTTGTTATTAAGTTATTTTGTTGAAGTTTTTGAATATAAATGACAAATTTATCAAAATTGAAAATGGCAGTGGTTAAAATTTCATATAGAATTTTGCTCCACATTTATTTGTATGTTGATATTTTTCACATTTTTGTAGAATGCCACAAAAAAACTGAAGGCCTTTGATGCAACACCTTAATGAATTGTTTTTTTTTTTTTCAATTTGACTGAATTTAAATTTAATAAAATTAGCATTTCTGGAAGTAATATTTGCCATTCTGTTGACATGTTTCTTATTATAAAACGTATGTTGTTTTCGAATTTTTAACTGAAACTTGTGATGAACTATATTATTATTAACAGTTTTTATTTCTTTTTTCCGCAGTACAAGGAGATCAACTTCGAGTTACCAAGAAAAATTATTGTCTGTTTTTGATACGTTTTAATAAATATATTTTTGTACAAGTAACATTTCCTATTTTTTTATTTCCTATTTTTCAAAATAGAAGTTGTTTCCAGTTGCTGAGGTACAAAATCAGCTTTAAAAGGGTAGTAATTATACGCTATGTAGGTATTTTATGGTATACAGGGCGTCAATTTGAAAACTTCCCACCCCTATTATCTCGTAGTTGAAAAATTTTCGAAAAAAATAAACTATAACTTGAAGGGGGATGAGTGTTTATGCAAAATTCACCTCCCCTTTTTCAACTTCCCAGAGCCAGCCTATAGAAAATCTTAAATGGGAAGGGGGGGTCAAGTCATACATATTTTGCAGGGTTTTCAATTTCATACATTTTGGTACCAAATTTCAATACCTAAGTTCAACTGTTTTGGAAATATTGACAGTTGAAAATTAACTTTTTTGCAACTTTAACAGGCTGTAAAACCGGAACGGTTAATTTTAGAGGAAAACCGATCTTACATTCTGGTCTTAGATTTTCATAAGCTATCATTTGACCAACTTTAAATTTAATCCATGATTGAAAATTCCAATTACTTGAATTTAATTTCCGGCTAAATTCAAAGTTTCGCCTTCTGAACATTATAATCTACATAAATAGCCTTTTGGAAAGCTTACTATTTAGAGCACTTACAGACTTAGAGGGCAATATGTACGAGAAAATGAAAAACAAAAAGAACAAAAAATTAATTTTTTTTTTTTTTGGCGTGGTTCCATTTAGAAAATAAGGGTGCATTAAACGAATTTTCAAATATCATTCCTACATCAATAATCCCTAAAAATTTGAACAGCCTAGCATTAGCCCTTGATCTAAAAGGGGTAGTAGGGGTACCTAACTCTTTTTAGATGAAACTATTCAAACTATACCAGAAAATGGGCCAATCATTAATAAGTAATTGCTACATGGTTTGTCGTTGATTCGCTGTTTAATCAAAAAAAAAATCTTATAACATCCTTTTTCAAGGACGCTCAACTTTGGTGCGTCACCTCAGCTAAAGGGCAGGTGATAGAATGCTGTCACTGGATAAATTGCAGAGCATTCAGTCCCCTTCAATTTACTATGAAGGTATTTTTTTGTGAAACGCAACGGAAGCGCTACGTTTCGGAAAAACGAAAAAAAAAACGACCTGCAGGGGGATGAAAGGGGATAAATTTTGTTGGAAATAGTAAGACCCATAATAAACAGAGCCCTTGTCCTACCAGAAAAAATGCAACTTGTGTTGAGTTTGCGAGGTTCAACCTTTGTTTCCTGGCATAAGTATATCTACTAAACGATATGTTGATGATGATATATGGGACATTGTAAGTACCAGATGCACAAGTGGAGAATTTAATCTAATGGGGACTTTGAGGTTCCTGCGTTGAAATGGTTCAAAAAAACAGAAAAAACTCGCTGTTTCTAGGACTCGCATATAATTGCATGTGATAGATTGCAATATGTAGCCTTTTGATTCTTGGAAACCATCTAAAAGATCTAGGTCTGGCAGGTGAAAAAACAAATAACTAATTTTCTGAGCTAAGAGTAGTTTTTAATGGCATACATCTTTCCTGATTTAGATTTTTTTCTTCAATTTCTATATCCAAGATTCACTTCATGTTACTACAAAGTAACATTTTAGGTCCAAAACTTCGCTCTATTGAATTGAAATCGAGCACTAACGTGCTGTGCCCTTGAAAAAAAATTCGCATTGAACTAAGCCAAGAAACCCTGCAAAAGGTAAATCCACGCAAACAACAAAAGTTTCGCTCTCATTAAAGAGGTATTCTCAATCACCTCCAAGACAACAATATATGCCTATGATTGTTTGGATAGAGGTTTATTTATAAACAAACAAATGGAGGAATATGATGTGAGAGCTGATGCAGAGAAATGGTTTGTCATTGTCTCGTAGGTATATTAACAACACAGTAGCTACAAAAAATTGGGAAAACAGATTGGGCCCAATCCCGTTCATTGTGTTTTTGAACGACCTAAGCATGTTAATGTTGAGGAATTCTTCTCCGAAGGCAGAGGAGCTGCTTAGTCAACGGCATTGGAATCAGAAAAGCAACGAGATACTATCTGATTACAAATCCCCAGTAACAAAGCATGATGGAAAATGTTCATTTGAATGTGGATTGTGGACGATACCGATCATATAGTTTACGGACACCAGTGGTAGGGCTTCTCAGGTCGTTATCAAGCAAAAAACCCTGTAGAAAAAATAATCAAACTGAAAATCAATTAAAGATCGCAAAACAAACTACATGGAACGGAAGAACAATGTTTCAAGCAGGAAAATACAAAATATAATTGAAAAAATCGATAGACTGAACATTGATATACTTGGGGATAAGCGAGACGAGGTGGCCTGGAAGTGGACAATGTATTGCGAAGGACTATATCTCCGGAAAGAAACCAGCATGTTATTGGTGTGGGAATTATATTTTCTTCCAAACTATGTCAAGTTGACATGAGTTTAATGGAGAGATGCAGATCAGGATTTAAAAGTCTTCTGACTGGTGTAAGAAGTGTACCTCAATAATAAATCCTTAATAATGTCTTGGTTTCGCAACTTCCGATACTATAATGGAACACAGTATACAAGCCACATGGATGGACTTACTTCACCAAACAGAAAATCACCCATTATAATATGGTGTAAGACAAATTTTTCAATACCCTCCTCAACCAAATAAAAGGCCTTGATCGAGTTGAAAAGTTTAAAATAGATACTGATAAATCGTAAGTGAAACCATGTATTATTCAAAGGATTCCTGCCCAGATGAATATTAATTCTGATTTCATGAACTAGGTACCTACTTGTATTTGGATTATTTTGAATATGGCTAGATATTATTATTTATTTGACAAAGACGCAGAATAGCTGAGTTGTTGTACCTACTATTTCAGTGTACGAACTTCCTTTAGTCATATTCAGATAATTCCAATATTCAACTCTGCTAGGTGAGATACCCAACAAACCAAGTAGGCAAGTAGGTAACCTTACGCCTATTTTTTCAAATGCCAAGGAGAAATGGTAAAAAATCATACCTATAATATTATAAATAAAACAAAATTCATTGCAATTGCCATTTTTATTTAAATATTTACAAATCCGTGCTAGCTAAGTCTTAACTTAAACAGCACTACAAATTAAAACAGACCATTTTATGTACAAATAAATTAAAAAAAAGAATTTTTTTCCGCTAAATTAGATTATGTAAAAATTTTGGATTGCTTTAGTCAAGGACCTATATTATCAACAATTAGTAATATCAATAACTGGAACGAAAATGCAACATATTCGTTTCTCAATAATTATTCTTATTATTATTTTTGTTACAATCGAGGATCCAATAGGTAAGAGGTCAGACACATTAATTTTTTGCAGGTACATTCACATGGACAAATAAATAAACAATTAATTGGGTAGCCATTTGCCTAACACACCTGAAATTTTTGTTATGCTTGTAAAACGTTCAAGTGGCAAATTGCAAAACTATATATTCTATGGATGTATGGACGTATGTATGTAAAAAAAAAATAAGTAGGTACTTCTGGATTAAGAGAAAAGTTTCAGTTGCGTTATTAGGTCCGTCTAACGAATAGTCACAAAGTTACAATAATCCCATATAGGTATTTTACGGAAACTATTTATATGGAGCTTCACTCAGCCCTACGATTATATAAACAAGAATTTTTATTGCAACAAGTCATTTTTTTAAGGCAGTTTTGTTGCTTAAGAAAGTTCAATGATCAATTATCACAAATTAGAAAAATAAATAAAAATTTCATTATTACACTTTATTTACAAAAAAAAAAGGATTTTTTTCATTAAAAAAAAAACTACATTATTTTTGAGTAAGCTTTTAGAAAGAACCTACTATAATCATATGGCGCAAGTTTTCAGAAGTTTGGATACTAACTTCATTTAAAGCTCCATGCCATTACGTGAGGGTAAAAATTTTGATGTTTTTACACATATATTTAGGCCAAACTCAAAAAAAAAAATTAAATAATCTTTCGTACAATAATTTTCTTAGGCGACATAACTGCCTTGATACCTAGACAATTACAAAATAAAGAGGCTGACTGGAATAACTCATACGTATTATTAGTTCTTTTTTTTTTATAAAATAGTCGATTAATATAAAATTATCACTTTCTTCCATTCAAGCTGAGCCTTACTAACAAAACTATTAATTAATATGACCAATTGTCTGATCATGCGATAATCACAGATAATTACTTGCGAATGGCAGTTTCTAACTTTCACTATAAGGAGGAAGGTGAGATAAAGTTCGTGACACATATGTAACGTCTAGATTTTGGTGAGGATACATTTCCGGAGGCTCAAGGTGACACACTACAGTTTCACCATCAAGTACAGCTGCCAAAGACCTTACCGCGGCATCCCCTTGGGGAGTACGATATGGTAGACCAATGTTGTTGCATCGCAATCTGTAAGCATTCTCCAATTCTTTATTGTTGCTTAACACTTCCAAAAAACTTCTTTCAGTACCTGGACTGTATGGAATTAAAGGTCTATGATCGCCATAAGACCTAGAACTTTGTCTGCTCATGTCACTTTGCCTTTTGGCATCTTCATCACTCATGTCGCTCACTTGAATTTCGTTCCTATCAATTTCCTCATAAACTGGATCGTCTTCAGCGGTCAAAAGTCCTCTTGGGTTTTGCCCATCATAAATTTCTGTATAAGTGTGATGTCCATAGTGATGAGGTTTAGATGAAATAATTTTCTTCCGTCCAGTTGCGACGCAGTGGGTCTGTTGCGAAGCTTGACGCATTCCATAATCGGAGTAAGCTGCCTGTTGACTAGCTTGAGCCTGGCGTTGAGCTTCCTTGGCTAACGTTGAGGCGTGACGGTGGGCTTCTGCAATGATCATGTGTGATCTGGGAGACTCTTCTTGCTCTGACCCTCCGTGGCCGGAATCACGACTGTATGACTTAAAAGAAATGTTCTGCAATGAAAAATATAGCTATTAGATTAATCTGATGAATGTGAAAATTATTCTAAAAAAATGTATAAGTGAAATAGAACTTTATGTAAGAATGAACTTTGCTATTCCATTGTTTTAAATACTTTACTCTGATATAAAAGCACATTCTAACTCATTTGGCAAAACAATGCACTAGTTATGTATCTACAAGATATTCATTACATAATTTACTGTCTTTTTTATTATGATTGGAGGAAGTTTTAATTGAAAGTTACCTTTTGCCTTTCAAAAATAAAATTATTTTGTCCTCATCTAAAATTAAAAAAAAAAAAAAAACTCTTGGTACTTTATGACCCTAACATCATATAGCGAGAAGTTTCTAAATTTTAGACGAAGATGTAGAAGTTTTTCCAATAAGGACGATATGATTTTGAATTGAGATATAACTAAAATTATTTCAGATGCTAGCGGTGTTGCCAAATTGTGTAAAACCGTTGCTCGTGAACTATGAATGGCGCTGCCACCAAATCACCAATATGCGTGCGTATGCGGGAGGTACGCAGTCCTCTTATAGCGATTTCCATTTGTCGAACCAGTGCAAAAAAAAATGTATCCTTATCCTTACATGTTACATGCTTTTAGGAAAAGATGAGGATACACTCAGTGCGTACTGATTGGCAAATGGAAATCGCCATTAAAGTACAGTTGATGACATTTATGTTTTGAATAAGGCATCAGTTGCTGGTCAACCTAAACTTTGTCTACATAATCGAATTTGAGAAAATCAATTTTTGATGACTTTGTACAATAAATCGGGAGTGATCTGAGGAATGCAGCGTTCAATATTCAATATTTGCATTAAGTGTTTGTGGTATCTTTGCAAATAGCCCCACAAAAAGTTATCTCAAGGAGTTGAGTCACATTTTTTTTGGAGACCCATGAACAGTTGCATTCCTTGAAATTATCCTTTCTTCAAACTTTCTTCGCAATACGTCGATATAGTTTCAGTAGTAATGTGGCATTTGGCACCATCCTGCTGGAACCACATATTCTCCAAATCAACTACATATAAAATTGGCCACAAAAAAACAACATTTACTGTAAATTCATCTCCTATCTGATGATGCCACCATGTAATAAACATACATAACACCACACAGTTATCTTTAGCGGTTACAAAGGTTTGTCAGGAATCTGTTGTGGATCATTTTCACACCAGAGATGGCAATTATGTTTGTTAACATATCCAATCAACCAGAAATGAGTTTCATCTGAAAACATATTATTTTTTCTCGCAAAATTAGGATCCCTTGCAAGGAGTTGTAAATTCCAAGCACAAGCAGCAATTTCTCGAAGCCGATGATGGTCCAGTGGCTTAAGTTCTTGGATCAAAACAATCTCATATTTTACAAGTGTCAATTCAAGTCTTGCAAAATCCGACAAGTTTTTGTGATTTGAGGCATACATTTGGATCCTCTGCGACACTAGCGTTTACATGCAATATTCTCAAAAGTTCTGGCATTTCGACGTCTCATTGGTGTCTTTTACATCGTGAAGAGTACAATATATTGTCATAAAATTCACAAACTTTATTAAAGCGCATATTTAGAGTATACTGCACATATTTCATAAATGAGAACTAGTGACAATTATAACTTAATTATTACCATAGATTATTATGTGGTTAACATATCGTCTCAAAATCATATAATTCTTATTGAAAACCCCATTATATCTAGATATAGTAAATATGTAAATAACAACCTTAGGGAAAAGATGTTACAGAAACTTCAAGCTGGATTAAACTTTTGTTAGCTAGCCAATATAAATATGATAGATGAAATGACTTTGGAAGTTTTTAAGCAGATATATACCTCACCTATATTCAAGATATCGCCATGGGAAATCGGCAATACTTCAAAAAGCGTAACATTGTGTAAGTAAACTTATATCTGCCTAGCAACATTCATATCACCTCACCTGTCAACATCTAGTGATATATCATCAATTAATTCTCAACATTCTGCTCATATATTGATGTACTTCTGCTATAATTTATATTTGATGAAGTTTTTGATTAAAAAATCCACCAGAAAGCGAAAAGAAAAGGTTCATGCGTTTATTGGAAATTAAAAAAAAAAGCTACAAAGCAGAGTTATTGTTACGAACCTTCCAGTGTAAGGGTTTGTGCAGAGGACCCCAGGTAGAAACAGATTTAGGAATATTAGGGTTCACGGTACAGTTCTTATAAAAATTGCGAATGTAGGGAAGAGTTGAAGTGTTAGGGGCTTCTAGGTCGGGAGAAGGAACGGAATCTGTGGGTCGTAGGGGGCGACACAGAGTAGCAGCCGTGTTGGCCGACGTAGAGGTGGGTACAGGCGTACGACATGCTCGATTGACGTTCGTGCAGCTCTGGGAGTTCCAACCTCGCTGAAACTGAAAAGTAAAATCGTTCCGTCACCAAGTTTATACACCCCCGTTTTACAAAGACATAGACTCTGCAATTAAAAACCAAATTTATGAACTATTAGGTATATATATACAGGGTGTCCCACAATCAGCGTTACAGGCCATAACTTTCTTATTTTTAGAAATAAAAATTTGAAAAAAAAAACGACTAATGGTTAGTTAAGCTCATCTCTTCAAAAATATAGAAAAATCTTCCCCTGACAAAATCATCCCCTATTTACAACCCTTCACTTTTTTTTTTCAAGTGGTACCCCTAATTTTTTTTTTTTTTTTTTGAGAAGTTCATGAAATTGCAAATTCAATGATGTATGAAAACTCTGTTTTTCCATGTTTCGTTGGAAAAAAAAAATCAAAAATGAAAATATTAATAATGGGGTTCTATTTGAAAAAAAAGGCAAGAGTTGTTTTTGGGGGATGAGTTTGTTAGGGAAGATTTTTTTATTATTCTTGAAAAGGGGTTAATTTCCACACAATTAATTTTTTTTTGTCATATTTTTATTTTTGTAGACAAACATGTGATTGCCTGTATAGGACTAAGGGTGGGACACCCATTTTTTTTCCCCCAAGAGACCTGGAAAAACAAACTTTTTATACACCATACAAATTTGTAATTTCATAGGCTTCTCAAAAATAAAAAAAAAATAATAGGGGTGCCATTTGAAAAAAAAAGTCAAGGGTTGTAAATAGGGGATGATTTTTTCAAGGGATGATTTTTTAATATTTTTGAAGAGAGCTTAATTAGCCATTAATAATTTTTTTTGTTTCAAATTTTTATTTTTGAAAATAAGAAAGTTATGGCCTGTAACGTTGATTGTGGGACACCCTGTATATAATTGCAGTTCAATCAATCTTTGGCGATAGGGATAATAAGAAAAGCTAAAGCGTTAGTACAGATCCACAACACGAGTACCACCTAAAAAGACATGCCAGAGAAAAAAAGGCAACAATGCGGGCACCACCACAGTACTCCACAGTTAGTAAAAGCATTATAAGCGCGGGTGTAGAATGTTTCCATTCGTATAATTTATGATTTTCTTGAATGTGAATCTGAATTATTTTTACAAAATTAACGAATGGGTAAATATTCCTTTCGGACAGATATTCATTTTTTTCAGATGTTAATACACACATAGGTTTTTTTATAATATTCAATGTTTGATTATTTTTCTACCAGTGCTAGTGCTTTGAATGTTAGATAAGGAAGAATATTAGGCTGTACGTATTGCTTTACAAGGAAAGTTTTTAGAACTTAGTGACTTGCTTCACTATTTATATATAAATATGTACTTTTTTATGACAAAAGAAATACTTCATGTTTGGAGTTTTGGCTTGAAGCTAAAAGTTTTTATCAAATTTCTTCCAAATATCCAAGCACATATGACACAACACAGAATCAGCGATAGATTTTCTATATTCACTAGTTCATATTTGGTTTTCCTTTCTCCTTGGGCTGTGGTAAATATATCAACAAAATATATCGCAGGAAATGTGTAGACTTTATTGATTCTAAAACCGAAAATGGTAGTCAATGCTGAATACAAATATATGAATACGGATGTACTAACAACAAAAATAAAGTCAGTACCCCACCAGTGTTTTTCAACATGCTTTTAAAATAGCGTCTATCAAAACAGTGCCTTGACGCATACAGCGCATGAAAAAATTAAACCAATTCGGGCTTAATTAATTTGGCGCCCAGTCAACATAATGGCAATCAAAATTGCGCACAAAATGTAGATAAGTGATGCTAGTATAAATAAAAAAATATCAAATGAATGTGGCAGTTGGTCTTTTATCATAAGGACTGGTCGATTACTAGTTGGTTATTTTTCCTTTCTTCAACTTTTGTTATAAATCAGACGTTTTCAAATCTAGATGTTACATTGTTGGAATATGAAATTGATTTTTATAAGAAATTCTATCCATTACAGAAGGATTGAATTGTGTATGAAAGCATGAGCCGGTTATCATAATATGCATTTCTTGTTCATAAAGATGACTGTTTTGCCTAAATAGTCATGATTTTCTTTTTTTTTTTGACAAAACACCCAAAATGAGGCTCACCAGAGGTTCTCGAATGCAATCCGGCTCTAACAATAGGTACCTTTCTGAGCTCCTCGAAATTACATTAACGCCGTCTTTTGAGTATTCGCAAACTCAGATTGTTATTCTGGTACTAGTCCGCTGCTATCTCCGTCCTAATGGTCTTCAAGCGTGCCGTCTGCCTCCCAATAGGTTTACTCATCTGCAAACTGGACAACAATGATTGCTGTGGCACTCTCAGGAACCCATCCACATACAGTAAGGAGAGCAGCGTGCCTAATACTAATCCTTGTTACAATTCGACCAATCTGACAAAAACTTATCTCATTTCTTTATGCATACTATTTGTTCCTGCTTGTGTTCTTGTCAAATATGGTTCCATCAAGTTCATTATTCCCTGAACACCAAATCTTTCCAGTTTTTGTCAAATTCAGAAATAGACTCTGTCGAATGCGCTCGATATGTCAAAGTACGATGCAGCAGTCTGTTTTCCCTGATTCATAATTTTTACGGGAAATTTTTAAAAAATCATAAATAGCAAGCTCTGTAGGTATTGCAGATATTTCCTTCCTAAATCCATAGTGATTATTCTTGGGAAGATTTTGTACAATCTTCGACCTTCGAAAGAGAGGGCAGACCAGCACCGATACAAACCTTTAGATTGGAGTTTCTCCTTTTTCATAGATTTTTTGTACTCTGGCGGCTTAACAAGGAAAGGTAGGTTGGGGAACAGTTGTTTAGTTATTATGTCGGATAATAGGCTGGCCCCTTTAATGGGTATAGCAAGCGGGACTTCATCCAGACCAGCCAAGTAGTTGCTGGTAATTACTATTATACTAAAAATTTCCGCATCACAGTGGAGGCATATAGAAATAAAGTGTTACCATTTTGGGTCACTGCTTTTTTTTTGGTTCACTTACCTCACACTCGCCTTCTGTCTTATTACTTTTATATTTTCTTTCAGATTTGATAGGTATTTCCTATGTTTTTTTTGTTCTAGGTCTTAAGAGTTCCATGGGTATTGTGTTTTAAGGTCTTTGGCGTTCACATAAAGATCCTTAATGTATCATTCACTTTATTTATTTGTTTCTTTATTTAACCCTGACTGGGGTTTCTTCGCCATTGTTCTTTCCATGAAGAAAGACACATGAAAATATTAGAAGAAAAAAGCATATATTATGTTTTTGTCTATTGGGCCAAGTTTCATCCCCTCTTCCAGGATGGCAAGAGATTTCTAGTTCTGGCCAAACGGTGAAGTGATATTGGCATCAATGGGATTTGTTCGGCCTGCAAGATCACAGTCAGTCATACATGTGAAACTCCAGAAGGAAAAAGCCTCTCTGTGCCACACACAATGGCGGACAGAGTGCCTCGAAAAGTGACTTAAGGGTCAATGAGACTTTGACGCGAATGAGACATCACTATGACTGGATCAACTGTCGTAGGGGTGTTGAAGAATAATGGAAGAGAACCCCTGCGCTCTTGAGAAAAGAACCAAGAGACAACCCAGAAAAATGGAGCAGTAGTGGTCTGGTTTACTACAGGGCCTACAGGGAGAATTTCAGTAAATATCTGAAATTGGTATGAGCTGGGCCTCTTTTTCTTCTGCATGAATTCACCGATCCTACATCATCGATATTTTCGACGGAAAGAGAAATAACGTTTCACGTTGGTCCGATGTTTGGCAGATCACCAACTGTTGACAACGAAGCTGCACTTCTAGGTTTTGTGGCTGATCTCTGGGAGAGACGTTTTCTCTAAGTTGGACAATATTTGCACATTTCGGCAACATCGCATGGGGGTCTCTAGACAAGCGTCTGCGGATCACACGGAGGCAACGCCACGAATACAGCGCCCATAACGTTTTTGCTGCTTGTTTTTTGACGCCTCCGCCTCCTTGTCCTGAATCCTGATTCCTGATGAATATTATTGTTATATTCTAGGATTATTTTGCAATTTCCATTTCGTGAAATATCGATATTTAACTAAAAATTTTAGAAAGACTAATGAGAATTAATTTTTTCGGGATGGGGTATCAAGCGGGACCCGGGTACAAAAAAATAATTGATAAGTATACATGGCCCTTCGCCTTCGCCCTTCACAGTTGATTTGTAGGCTGTATCACAACCAAGCTGTTTTTGTAAGATTTTGAAAGACAGTATTTAATCTAGATTGTTGAATAATAGCTATTTATATAAATAGCATTAAATATCAAGTACAATAAAGAAAGGCTTTATTGTACGAATAATTTTATGACCGAGCGAGCTTGCGAGCGAGGCTATTAAATAATAAGTCAATATTCAATAAAGCCTGTTTATGTGAGCGTGATACGGTGATACCTACGTAATGTTTTAATGCGTTTATGTAAATTTCCATCTCGACGATAAATAAAATAAATAATTATTGTACCATTTTTCCTCTTAACAGTTCCATATTTTATAAACTGTGCTCTAATGGTATCTTGCTCTAATTTTCTTTTCTACTCATTAAAGTCTTCCTTATTATTAAATGTTAAATTCTTGGGGAGGTGAGACTTTCTCGAAACTCCCTCTCATGTCATTGATAATAAGACAAACTATCGAATTATAAATAATAATTTTGTGTCAAATAAATAAAGAGAAGGTAAACAAAAATGCTAGTGAACCGCCGTTTGTCGCTTCGTGCCAAATTTTAAATTTTCGTTCGTACACTTCCAACCATATTCGTGGCGTTGCCTCCGTGTGATCCGCAGACGCTTGTGGTCTCTAGGGATTACCTCCCTAAATACGAAGTCTCAAGCCCTTAGGGGTTAGAATAACGGAGATGGATGTTAAATCCTACTTTCAATCCTGCCTTGTAGTCACGACTACAAATTAGCTAAGCACCGTATATTTGATATGTGCTAGATTTTTCAAGAATGGAATGTAGCCATGATGGAATAATCTAGGAAATTACAGGATGATTGAGATTGTTGGATCTAATGTTCATCAGAAATTTCCAGAAGGAAATTACAGAAGAATTGGAGTGTGTATAAAAAAAGTCGGTCAACTGAATGCCTATTATAGTCTAGAGTGACAGTAAGTTGAACAGTGAGTTTCCAGTTTGATATAGTTTTGTGTGCAGTTAAGCCTAGTTCGAGTGGCATGAAGTGTTGTAGTGATAGCAATGTAATGATTTTTGTGCTACTGGTTTCAAATAAAGTTTATTCAAACGCGGAAAATTACTGTCATTTATCTGCTAATGCCGCATACCTAACAATTTTTTAGATTTCAGTTCAATAATTGATCCAAAATTACCATGAAGCATAGACAACAAAAGGATAATACATTTTATTTGGGTGATATTTTGCCTGTTGTTGCTAAACGCTATTTTGATTGATGTTGAATTGATCAATCACGATTTAAATACATGCTATTGTACGCCTCAATGTTCAAGCTCTCTGTTGTGTCACAGCGCTCAATGAATGCGTTTTGTTTGTCCAAGAGACAACAAAATTGTAGTACAGAAACTTTCCTATCAAGCTCTGCGTGCTATAAAATTGCTATTATGTGATGTAGTGTATTAAAGAGGTAAATAATATAAAACAGAAAACAGAAGACATTCGAAGTACACATTGAACGAAAACAAAACACTGTAACTTGCACAGATGAAGAGAGATAAGCCATACAAAACTATGAAGAGGAAGAGACGCAAAGCAACGAACTGCGTTATGAGTACGTACATTACATAAGGCGAGTTGAACTTGTATAGTGACATCTAAAGGTTATTTGTGGTATTTAAAAGAGAATCTGAAACGTATTCACTGAATTATTATACAGATGTAGCTCTGTATAATAATCAGCTGACAAAAAAATGCTTAAACGGTATTCTAAATTAAATATGTACCGGGTGTTTTTTTATCTTTGATGTCATACATTTTATGACAACGTAATCCTACCTATTTTCCAGCACTCAAGCACTAATTAGAAAAATATTCGATTAACAATGAACTTGATTTTTACAAAAAAGTGCAAATAAAATAAAACTATTCAGATTTTCCCGTTTTTGTTAGGTAATTGAAAACATATTTTAAAATGTGCATTAAACAACAATTATTCATGAAACAATAACCAAGAAAGTATGTACATACAAAATTTGGTAGACAGTTAATTTTTCAAAAAACATAAAAAAATTATTGGTTTCATTTATATAGTAGTACCTATTGAAAATGCACCAGGCCAATAAGTAAGACTTACAGTAAATATTAGATAAAAAAAATATATATATATAATATATATATATATATAGGTTTTCTAACTGGTAATTATCAAGAATGACAACCTATTCAATTCCTTTGATTTTTTTGTTACCAGTAAGTTCAGGGTATGTTTGATTTTTCAAATTGTTACCCTACAAGTTCATTCAGCCTAGTGTAAAATGCATCTTTTATTTAACATTTTGTACCTTGTTGAGACACATTATGCTGTCGATTGTGGTTGGTCATGGTGGTACTAGCATTGTTCAGATCGGATCGAGGCAAAATCTGCACTAGTGCCGTAGGACGCGCGTTATTTAGATTATTCGAGATCACTATACTGTTGTTGCTATTGGTACCCACACTTGTTCCGTGAGGCGTCAACACGGAATTATCCGTCGAATGTGAATTGGTTCCTCCTGATGGATTCCCATTTGAGCCGTAGAGACTTGGTCGCCTCTCTTTGCCTGGTCCACCCGATGTAGTACAACTGCCACTGTTACCAGTACTGCTGCCACCAGGTCCACTGCTTGACTTTGAACAACGAAGACATTTTGGTAACCAGGAGTGTTTTCTGATGAACTTACGGTACTCCTTCCGGACCTAAAATACCAAAAACATCTTGATTGTAAAACTGAAACCTGTATTTTCCAACAAAAAGGGATTATACCCTACTAAAAAACTAAAATGATTAGGTTTTTGTAACTGTATCTTTGAAATTCGTTTCTTTATTTTTATGTATAAAACCTTCTAAGAAATAAACTTCCATCATGTTGACATAAACGCGATAGAATAAAATGCCCTCTTCCTTTCACTTGGTAAAGAAAACTCAAATACAATAGAAGCTTTAAAATTAGGCATCAAAAAGTTTACTTACCTTTTCGTTCTGAAGGCAGTGAAACAGGAATATAAAGAATCCCTGCAAGGAATTGAAAGTGGCAAACAAATAAGCCATGGCAACCGATTCTTGGTTAATGTATAAAAATCCGAAGATCCAAGTCAGTCCTAGCAGGAAAACTAGAACGAAAGCTCCTTTCAGCCATGCCCTAAAATGTTTACACAAGTTACGAATCCGGCTCTTATTGAACCTGGAAAATGTTTGCTTTGTCTAAAATCTAGGTATGAGACCGAATGTCCTCTAACATGCGGGTTTTAATAACAAGCTACTTTTTGAAAAGCTGTAGGTATTCGACTAATGACTAATAATGCTTTCGCTGAAAGAAAAAACTTGACAATGATAATTTAGATTTAAACATATTGAAGTCTGAGCATACTGCAATGTTAGTCAGTTAATTTTTTTAAGTTTTTTTGTATTACTCTTAATTTAGATTATCATTATCATAGTTTTTGTTAGTGTATGATAGAAAAAGTGTTCTTACAAGTCAAATTTCATTCGAAGTGCATTTTCCTCCTTTCCACTACCAATGTAAGATTGCCATGCAATAAAAATAATGTATTAGAAGGGTATATACACCAGGCTATAATAGTTGTAAAAATATTTATCTACAATCAAAGATCATTAAAATGCCCTTGTAACGGATTTTGATTATCTGTTACAGATATAGAATAGTCTTTGTGCTACTGCTACCACATCTAAAGCAAATATTGACATCAATTAAACATACTTGCACAGGATAATACAAAAGAAACGTGAATAATTGATAGTTGATGCAAATCATTGATATTGCTCGATTAGCTCTAGTTTATGAAATACCTAGACCATAAAACCCTATCACCCTTTTTAATACCTAATCAACCAAGTATTTCATGACACAACCTTCAAGATTCTTTATCAATAAAAACAACATTTACTATCTACAATACAATCACCATTATAAATATAGAAATGCATTTTTTTAGATGATTGATTTTCAGTTTTAGAGATAACTAAATAACAAATATATTGCGCACCCGCAATCAGATTTTATTGAAGCTGTATGAATAAAATGGTAACAAACTTTTGACACTAACTTAATTTTAGTGTGTTTTGTTTATCAATCTCATAGTTTCTTCTGGATTCTGGATAATCCTGTACCATAATAAAATGCTATTAATTATTTTGTCTTTTCAAATATACAGGGTCCTGCATCTCACCTCCGGTTTTATATAGCGTATTTATTATTTAATTCACAATTTTTATATTTTGCAGACGTTACCTGCACTGTGTGGCGCATCTTAGGAAAATAGTTTTGATTATACAGAGTGTCTCAAAAAAGTGTGACGTCATAATGATATCTTTTTTTAAATTGCATGCCCCATATTTTTTCGCATATTTGGATACCTTCTACGAATACCTACAGGCCCCTAAAGTTTTATTGCAATCGGTTTCGTACATTACGAGAAAAAAAATAAAAAATAAAAAAAATATGTTTTGCACCAATGATTTCAAAAATTGATGAAAATTACAAATCATCCTTTGTTAATAAAATAAATCGTGGAACGTAGTGAGTAAGATATTTTTATCCTTGTTGAATTAGTTTGGTTGATCCGAATTATACAGGATGTCCAAAATTTGGTGTCAAACTCTTCAAACTTTGAAGTACTTTATTTTTTTTATTTTCAATTTGAGCCCCTGGACATTTCTATGTCATTCGATGCAGTATTGAAAAACAAACATTTTTTCCTAATACAACCCTATCAAAATTCCTAACACATTAAAAGTTATTCGCCAAAAACTAATTTTGGCACATAGCGCAATAGCAAGTTTAACAAATAAAAATTATAGTGGGCTTTGAAAAACAATTTTTGTAACATGTTTTGTAATAACAATTATCTTGGAACTTGTTGAGATTTTTACCTACACGCGTCACGCGTGCAGGAAGTTCACTTTACTGCACTGATTTGCTGATGGAAAGTAGAACTTCACCCTTCACCGCACACTATGCGGTAAAGTAGACTATGAAGTGTGCGGTAAAGTAACTTTACTGCATAGTGTGTGGTAAAGTGACTGGTATTTCTGATCAATTTCTGTCAAAAATACAAACTCATCAATTCAATAATGCCTTTCTTTGCAGATGTAGCAGCTCATAGGTAAAATTTTGTACCCAACACATGCGGAAAGTGCCTTTGTTAGGTAAATAACTATTAAAATAAGTATCTGCCTAAAACTAATACACATCGTGAAAATAGTGAGTTTTATCAAGAAGTTTTATTTAATATTATTAGATAAGCATTTATAAATTGATGACCTACTACAACCTATGCTCGATATGTCTTCCGTTTTCTTGGAGACACAAATCAATACGATTTTGGAATGACCTTGCTACCCTTCCTAAAAGGTCGGGTGTAATGCTTTGAAATGCGTTTATAATTCTTTACTGCATGTTTTCTGGTGTGGTTGGAGTTTCGTGATAAACTATTTCCTTGACGTACCCCCATAAAAAGAAATCTAATTTTGTTAGGTCGGGCGATCGGGGCGGCCACCCAGTTGGCCCTCCTCTTCCAATCCACCGATTTGGGAAGATTCTATTCAGACGGTCTCTGACAGCTAATAAATAATGTGCTGGGGCTCCATCTTGTTGCAGCCACATTGCATCCCTGACCGCTATTGGTAAATTTTGACATAGATTTGGCAGGTGATCTGTTAAAAAATTCAGATACATAGTTCCATTTAAATTTCCGTCAAAAAAGTGTGGACCAATAACATGTTCACCAATAATTCCCCCCCACACATTAATTGACCATCTATGTTGACGGTCCACCTGCCTAAAAGCCCTTGGATTGTGGTCGGAGTAATAATGGAAATTATGGCGATTGACAAGACCGTTTTTATGGAAGGTGGCCTCATCAGAGAACAAAACCTTATCAAAAAAGTCAAAATTATTCCTAATTTTTGCTTGCGCCCAATTGCAAAATACGACACGCCTTTCGAAATCTTCTTCGGATAGTTCTTGATGAAATTGAATATGGTAAGCATGGAAACGGTTGTCCTGCAAAATACGTTGAACGGTTCTCTCGCTTACACCCACTGTATTAGCGACTGCTTTTTGACTAGTGGAAGGATTTTCCGTAACAGATAATAGCACGGACAATTGATTTTCCTCATTTCCAACGGGTCTATTTCGAACTGGTTTTGTATACTTTACACTTCCTGTTTGTACAAACCTCTCCAGTAGGTTCTGTAGGCTTCTTGAGTCGGGATGCCTCCGTTCCGGATATCGCTGTGCATAAATGCGACTTGCTAATAAACAGTTCTTTTCGGATTCCCCTAATATAAAAACCATATCAACAAGCTCCTCTCTGCTGTACTCTATGAGAGAAAACTAAATTTTATACTTTTGAGAGCAAAAAAATTTGAGCTATTGATAATAAACCAAAGCAACTAAATTGAACTAATGTCAAACTAGGCTATTGACACTTATGTCATGTCAAGTTTTTTTAAGCCTTTCACGATTGTCATTTATTAAAGTGGCTAATGCACTTGTTGCCGAAATTAGATTTTGGCGAATAACTTTTATTGTGTTAGGAATTTTGATAGGGTAGTAATAGGAAAAAATGTTCGTTTTTTAATACTGAATCGAATGACATACTAATGTATAGGGGCTCAAATTGAAAATAAGAAAAATAAAGTACTTTAAAGTTTGAAGAGTTTGACACCAAATTTTGGACATCCTGTATAGTTCGAATCAACCAAACTAAGTCAACAAGGATAAAAATATCTTACTCAATACGTTCCACGATTTATTTTATTAACAAAGGATGATTTGTAATTTTCATGAATTTTTGAAATCATTGGTGCAAAACATATTTTTTTTATTTTTTATTTTTTTTCTCGTAATGTACGAAACCGATTGCAATAAAACTTTAGGGGCCTGTAGGTATTCGTAGAAGGTATCCAAATATGCGAAAAAATATGGGGCATGCAATTTAAAAAAATATATCATTATGACGTCACACTTTTTTGGGACACCCTGTATAATCAAAACTATTTTACTAAGATGCGTCCCACAGTGCAGGTAACGTCTGCAAAATATAAAAATTAGGAATCAAATAATAACTAAGCTACATAAAAACGGAGGTGAGATGCAGGACCCTGTATATGTAATTTAAATAGATACAATAGCCGAAAATAGTTAATTACATTACATTTGCAAATTGAATAATATCTGCTATTCATTTGATAGAAAACTTTCTGTCGCAATTTAAAATCAAATTCTTACAAAGCTATGCTCATAAAATAATTTGTATCCAATATTATATAAGTAAAGTGAATTGTATTCGTTCAGTAAAAGTTTAAAGCACAAAAGAATACAATTTTTTTTTTAATGCGAGACGTATTGTTGCAAATGTGTGGGTATATTATAGGTTTTGTCACTCATTATTTTCTTTTGATGATGTTTCTATTGATCGAATAGTGAAAGTAGCAACGCTGAATTTGAATTCAATTAGAATACCGAAATTAGTTTCTGTGTTAGAAAATTATAATAGAGTTACCTCACAGGTTCAAATATACCTACATTACATATTATTAAATCAACTTTGTGTTAGGTCAACATGCTGTAAGTATTTATGCAACATTCACAAACCCTAATTAAAACTTTTGGCATTCAAAATTTATTTTATAATGTGATTCAAATTTCAAATTAATTGAAATAAACCTACATTCAGCAGGATAATTTTGTTTTTTTAAATTAGTTAAAAGAATTTTTTTTAAATAATTCCCTCCTGTTTTTCGTTTGTTTGCAAAAGAAATCGACGACATGATTCAAAAATATGGAACAACCATCATTTAAGTTTAGGTACCGATATTGATCATTATTAAAGAAGACCAGGTTTTCAAAATTTATTCTTACTAGAATATTGTGAGTTCATAAAATAACAACATTGGAAGAAAATTCTAGCAACACCTAAATTTCTTGGAAACGGGTCCATAAAATCTACAGAATTTAAAATGTGGGGCTGATTCCTGTTTTTTTCCAATTTTTTTATCATTTGATAAATTCTAAACACTTTTGGTTTGTGGTCCACTAACCTATCTTCATTTTTTTCGAAAATATCAATATTTACACATCGGCATGTTTGGAACTTTGAGACTGTAAAATATAAACCGTTTGACTAACAACAAACTCGTTGACCCATTTTTGTCTTATTGTTCTTTTTTATTTGGCACCGATTTCCGGCTTTTCCGGAAATTACGAATTTTTGCTCCTCGGTCTCGACTCAGTTTTATTAATGAAAACATGTACAAAGGGGGTTTTCGGTCCTCTTAATCAAAACGTTCAAATTTTACATTCTGGCAAAATTCCAATTTTCAACTGTCAATATTCTAAAACCAGCTGACGTTTTTCCCCAAAAAATTCAAAAGTTAAACAGTCACCATCAACAGTGATTTAGGTTGAACAAAATTTGGAATGTTACCTACTTATTTTGTTCATAAATCACATTTTTAACTTTTTTGAAAAAAAAAAAAAAAAATAGAAAAAAGACAATAAAATCATAAAAATGGCCAGTATGCAAAAATAAAACAGGAATTCATTTGTCTTTGATCCAACATCACAAATTTTGTACATTTCTGAGAACCCGCTTTTGAGAAAATTACGCGTTTCCGAACTTTTTTCTTCAACTCTATACCTACATTTTCACTTATGTCTGTTTGCTCAAATTATCAAGTAGCCGCACCAAAGCTATTGTGCTCACTATTATCGAGCGCCCACTGTATGTACATTTAATTTAAAAAACGAATCAAACAATAAATACATCAGCTAAGCCAAATAAATTCTATTTTTCCAAGTATTTATAAATAATTACCTCGTGCTAGCAAGGCGAGAATGTTCTTTATTTTTCATGGACACAGAAGCGCTTGCATGCCTGCACATCATTACTATTGCCATTGTCAAAAATATGACATTCAGCTGAAAACAAAATGGAAAAAATCTTAGTTACTTATGCCATATCATTTAAAGGCGATTTAACACTTCTCAAAAAATTTTCAAAATGTTCCTACTTAGCACAAATCTCAATGTGGGCGTTTGTAAAATGGAATATTAATAAATAATATTAAACAACTTGCAGATGAAAAACATAAATTACACAAGACTTACCAACATGACGATGAAAACTGGTACTACGAAAGTGTAAATAAAGTAATTGTCAGTTTTAAGCCAACAATATCGCATAGTTCCGTAGCCGCTAGGATATATAGCTGCAGATGCAATCACTATTAAAAATGGCAGTCCATATGCGAAGATGTAATACCATCGTATTCTCGATTTCTCCACCTCAAATACTTCTATTAACATTACATAGAGTTGAAAACCTGAAAAGATAGAAGAAGTATTTGAAGTGATTATTATTTAAAAAAAAAGTTAAAATTATTTTATTCGAATCATCAATTTGAAAACTGAGTTTAAATTCATATCGAACTATTATTAATTGTATTTCATTTACCTTCAAAGAACATCCATACAAATGCACACAAGAAAAAATACTGTAAAATCCCAGCTATAACACCACAAAATATCCTATTTTGAGTTTGATTAATTCCTACTAAGAATATAAACTCAGCTATGAGGAGGCATGTACATAAGTTACAGTGTATCGTTGTTCTGTCGCTCTGAAAAAATCATTTTGAAGTCATGTTAACATAATCAATTTATTAATATCCTACCTTGAGCCCGCGAAATAACTGAAATGTGACTATGGCAAGTATGAGACAAATAATGGAAACTATACATCCTATGTAAGTAATAACTTGAAGTGCTATTTCATGAGGTATTGGTAAGTACACATTATGGACATCCATGAGAATAGCAAAGTTAGTTAAGTGATCACAAAAACACACTGTATGTGTATAATTTGATTCTGAACTGTCCACGTGGCAACCCTCCTCTGACCAAGAGTTTGTAGTATAGTCCCAAAATACACATTTGGGGTTGCTTACATTTTCAGTTTTAATATGTTTTAATGTCAGTCTTACAGGTTCTTTCAGCTGGATATGCCTGCCTTTGCCAAGGCTGGCCGAGATCACTTTGCTATTTAAAATTTTTGTAATATTGTTAGCAGTATCTAAATTGTCAGGCTGCCATTGAAGAATTTCTTCCAGTCTGTCAAACGCAACGAAAACGAGTCTAACAAGATTTCCGTCGCTATTCTCTAATAAAGCTTCTTTAGGTAATTCTAATGAATCATTACTGGCGTTCCAATCATTAGGTCTATCTTCACCGGAGGGAAATATTTCATCGGATAAAAATTTTGTATCCAAAACTCTCACAGAAAGAACTAAAAGGACAAAAAGTCGAAATTGATTTTACTGCAAAAAAAAACAAATAAGCACTCACGTATATTTTTCTCGTTTCTGTTAACTGTTTTCTGGCTTGTCACTGTATCAGCTAACAAAAAAGCATTTTCCTCCAACCCAATAAGTAGTGAAGTAGCTACACTCATTTGTTCCTTGTAGCTTAAGTCTCTCCATGAAGAATACTGTGTAGCATCTAGAAGATTGCTACTAGTTTTGGTAACATAACCCAACATCTCTGTTACTATTTCTTCCCTTTGTCTAGTATCAGGAAATGTTTGTATATCTTGGGCCATTTTGTCAGTCATTTTTTGTATTAATTTTGTGGTGATAGCCATATCGCCACCATATAAAGTTTTGCTGCCAGTTACTGTTGGTAAATCTCTTATGATTGACATTAAAAGATCTTTGCCTAGAAGCAGCCTTTGTTCCAAGCTAGTCAACCAAACTGATCGACATTCGCTCAAGTCTGGATTGATTGGAGTCCATTCTGGATAATTAGAAGAACTACTTTCGGAGCAGTGCCATTTTGCAAAACCTGTTGTTCCAGGAGGACAAGGTTGAACAGCAGTCTCATTAATGTGCGTGCTTTTCCAGTAAATATTTCTTACTGTAGTAGAATTACAGTGATATGGAAGGTATTCCGAGTCTTTGGGCCAAGAAGGGATTGATGGTGAGTACGAGAATGTTGACGTGGAATCAGCTAGAATTTTTTTTTTGGATAAATATATACAAACCAAAATATATATACACTTACATGTAAACAGTCTTTTATTGGAGTTGCCATTAGGTGAAACAGTTGTGAGGGGTAATGTAGTAATGTCATACTGATTGGGGTCCCTCGAGTCCCAATAAACATCTTGATCCTTCCTAGGAGCATTGTCAAAAGCCGCAACTTCTTTAAAGCCTTTAGAAGTGGATGTCGGCACATTGACTGAAGTGGAAGATGGTACAGGCCCAGGGATTGGAGATGGGGGACTTATGGTAACCTTCGTGGTCGATGGACGAGCAGACGGAGTTTTGATTGTGCTCCACATTGGTGGTTGAGAGGTAATCAACCATGGTGGACTTGGACGGCTTGTCGTTGTGGTGGTTGTTGCTGGAAAAAAGGTATGTGAAGTGTGTTGAATTCGAGTTCGAATTAAGTATTCGAAATCAATATTCAGCAACTAGATTATATACAATATATTAGAGCCCAAGTATTCTTCCTATCTATACCTGGAGTTCAAAACTCTTGCCAGTGATTGTCATTGTGCCACTCACACAATCAATTTGCAGTAGGTGGTTGGCGACTCAAAATTTGTTTTGGTGACATTTACTCTTCATTCCATTTCTAGTCTCATCATCTTCATTATTGTTGAGAGATGCTTGGATTTATCAGACATTTTAGCAGTATTATCAGCATAGCAAGTATGTACCTACTACCATTGTATCTACTACCTACTAGCTTGTAGCTAACCATCAAATAATCCTCTTCCTGTTATACAATATACATGTGTTTACGTTGGGTACGTTTTTTGCAAAGATTGGTATCTTCAACAAAATTGTTTTTCTCTCTTTTGGATCACTCTTTTTTACAAATTTTTCGCACCCATCTGGTATTTTCTAGGTGATGTATATGTTATCAGATTTAGTTTCGCACATTCTTGATTGCTCAGAACTAATTCAGTGACTTTGCAATATAAATCGTCCCTGCCTATCGTATAAGTAGATGATAGGTGAAGATCGAGGGTGAAATACAAAACTGGAAATATTTTATAAATAATTGTCAAGTTTTGTCAATGAAAGATCAGTTTCTGTGTCAGTATTAAATCGATTGATGTCCAATGCAAATTTTAGTTTTATTTTACTGACTTGTGAACAAAAATATTTTTTAAAACAATTTTTTTATCGCACTACACAAATAGTTTTGTTCCATTTATTTTTTATTGATGTTCATTAGTTTTACCTTTACCTTAGCTTTAGCGATAAATATTTTAATTCTCGAGACAATAAAGTATATATTTCCATTTGATTTGATTTGATGTATATTTTATTTCTCTTATAGCAATTTACTGGGAGGAACAAAAATGGGTCATAAAATTTAATTTAATTTTAGGAAAATAGAGGTAAATAAATGTAAGACAAAGACAGTGAATTATGAGATTTATTGCGTCCATAAGCTTTTCATAAAATTCCAGAGTTTATTGACACCAACTAGAAGCTAACTTGATTTTACGGGTATTAAACTTTATTTAAAATCGTATTTTCAGCTTTGTGTTTCATCTATTTGGTTATGTGGTTACGAACGTTGTGATTTATATTTTATAAATATCACTGAAGTAGTGTTTCGAGCATTTTTTCTGTGCATTGCCCGAACTCGGATGATGGGATGAGATTTTTCAATAATTCGTACTGATGTCTTCCTCTTTTTGCATAACTTCCTCTGGAATTTTATCCGTTCTGGTCATTTTATCATTTTTATATGCTATATACCTATTAGGCACCAACTAGGAATTTTAGGATTCCCGACACTTCAACTGTATTTGCAATATATTCTCGTATTAAGCTAAGTTTTAACTCAACGGATTATAATCCAATACCTAGAATATATTATAAATTGGCAGCCTAATTTCTGATTCTTGGATCAATTTCCAATTCTTTTTTATTGGACCTTCTTATCTACGAAAATAGATCCTCGACCTCTGTTAATTTTTGCTTCGAATCGCCCATGAAAAAAGTTATTTCCTTTCTCTCAAATGTTCTACTTTATCAACTAGATGTTTGTAGTGATGGTGTACAATATTTAATTATTATAAAAATTCTATAGATACAAACTGTCCAACATTATACTCAATTTTAATAATCCCTTTAGATAAAAGCATGTGCCATACACACCCCTATGTTCTTTCGCACCTATGGATTACAGTTTTCAGGTGGGACATTTAGTAATGTAACACAATGGCCTATATAAAACTTTTCGAATTACCGGCGTTGAGCAAAGTTGCCGGGAAGGATGAATATAAAAGCGACCATAATGATCCCTCTCGCTTCTGTGTTCTACACCCTTTCAGAGGTCGGCATAGGTGTTAAAATACTTCCTTGGTAACCTCAAAAAGAAAAAGTCGGCCAAGGACGGAATCCAATTATAATGTCGTTAGATAATTATGGCCAGGTTAAAACAATGAGCTTGCCTTACCTAATAAAAAATATTTCTGCAGAAAAGCTGTTTATTTATAACCGGCATGTCTTTGCATTTATTATTTACACACATAATAATAGTATGTAGTTAGACATTATGTTTAGTTAATGATAAATGCACTGAAATAAATATCAAAACATTAAATATAAAATAAATCTGAGGAAAGTAGTCTTCAAGAAACTTGAAAAGTACTATTGCGGTACCATCGAGATCACAGCAAGCATAAGTGCAAAATTGCATAATTTTGTGCTCATCAAAATATTGTTTTAAAGGGATAAACTTACCATGACATCCCTTCAAAAAATGGTGATAATATACTTAATTATGGCTGTTTCCTCCACCAACTATTTTAGAGAAGCCTTAATGATAAGTATTCCTTAAAATGACAGTTTTGCATGAAGAAATGTCAGTTTAGGGACTATACTTTTCGCTAGGGCTTCCCTAAAATAGTTGGTGGAAACGGCCATAAAACACTTTTTTTCTATGACCATTGAAAAATAAACAACTTTCGTCATATTTTACCATTGCCGAAAACTTCACTTTCGTCACTAGTGACGAAAGTAAATTATTACAATTTTACATGCTGATAGTAAAATATAATTCAACACAAAATTATGAAAATTTTGCTTTATTATAATTTGAAGCGCCACTATCAATCCCTCATTGAATAACTAGTCCGAAGGATGTTTTATTATAACATAGTCATAGAAAAAGTATAGTGTTTTACTCGTCAAAAATGATTTTTTGCAACTCGAAAACATTACCAAACCCGGCTACGCCCGTTTGGTAAACTGTTTTCTCGTTGCAAAAAATGCTGTTTTCTTCACTCGTTGAGCAATATAATATTTTGTATCTATGTAACTTTGCCGTAATTTGAAGGGACTCTACTATATTCTCTCAAACCACCTAATATAAAAACAGTTTAAACTTGAATACGGGATTCAAAAAATAAAAATTAATCTAGTTTATCTAACCATTATTTGCATCTGACTAGGGCAAAAAGAGATTATATACCAATTTTCTCAGTGCCTGGTTCGCCGGCGTCTATGTGTAGGCGTCAGATAGGCGAGAAAGTATTGCGAGAAATCGAGGAAGTATTTTAATTAAGTAGGGGTTTAATTAACTTACCGGGCAGACACTGATAATGAGCTTCTAAATATTTATGTGTCCCAGGGCAGGGGTCTCCGAACATGCTTGTAATCGCCGGTATACTGCAGTTTTGATAATGCGTACACCTAAATGACAATATTATCTTGTTAAAGCTCCAGTGAATACCTATACATACACGAACCCAAATCGTCATCCCGCTAGGTTATCCCACCCTATATTCAGGATGGAATGAGAAAGGCCAAATTGGATTTTCCGACAATAATCGCGAATTTTTCTTGTTGCCTTGCCGGATTTATACAGGCATTTTACGGTATTTTGGACACCGCAGACATCGGGTTCGACTTTGTTGGAATTAAGTTTTCCCAGCATTTTCACAGAAAAATACTCGAAACTATCGGGATGCTTTCAACCAAATAATTTACAATAAAGAAAAGGTATTTTGTTTATTGCGTGATATCTGATTCTTGTATTTCATCCTTATAATTTTTATAGAACTATGCCTATTCATGATTATATAATAGATAAAAAAATATAAGGATGGGAAACTTTTGGTCGTGGCGCCATCTATGACTAGAAAACCATTTTTTCCTATAAAAAATAATATATATTGGAAGTTTCTTGTTTTGTTTCTATATATATATATATATATATATATATATATATATATATATATATATATATATATATATATATTGTGATAACTAAACTAAATTCGATGAGTCCCTTGGGCGGAGTCGATATCAATTTCTCGATACGAACTGATGTCCGAGTTTATTACAATTTAATTTGAATATTTGTAATTAAAGTTTCTAGAACTAATTGGGACAGCAATTCGATTTATTTTGTTTTGGAAACGAACAAATTAGGCATTCTAATGAAATGTTTTCGCGTTATGCTGCACATAAAGTAATGAAAAAGTTATTAAAAAAGTATGGGTGCAATATATACTAATTTAAAATTGTGGAAAAAGTTCAAATTATGACGTCCCAAGTGGCAAGTTTTGGGTGAGTGTGGCGCGCAAATTTATTATATTATTTGATTTAAGTGGGCAAGGAGTTGCTGTTTGTACAATTTTGGTGAAAAAAGCCTTACTAATTTAAGGATGCCAAATGAACCGAACTTTGTACAAACAACGGCATCGCAGCAAAGGGACGTGTGATCATGGATTTATTTCCATACATAGCTACAATATCCTAAATATTATTTACTGTAATTAATCCGTTTTTAGAGTTGTCTTTGCTTTGAGAATGAAACTCCATTAGTTTTATTGATGAATGTTGCGATGCTACCCCAATTACAGTGACTCTATTACCACAGTGGCGACAATTGCCGTCTTCTTTTTGATCGGTTCTTTAAAATCCTATATATTCATATGGAAACCGCCGCCATTTTTTGCTCCACTTCATGCTGATTTCAAATATGAATATATAAGATTTGAATGGACATCCATCATAAAAAATTGAAAACAATGTATCCGATGACTATTATTAGGCATATCAAATATGCTGCTTTCAATTTTTTATGATGTATGTCCATTTAAATCCTATACTTATATTCATATTTACAAGTAGCAAGAGGTTGGGCACAAAATGGCGGCGGGACCTCTATTGTCGCCACTGTATGTAAAGGTTTATTTAGTCACTGTAACCCCAATTTTTTCATAGCACCCCCTATATTTTGTGTTTTACAAAACAAACATAAAATGCTTATTTTTATCATTGCGGAGAGGTAAAGTTTTCCTCACCAATCAGACTTTAAAAACTGATGTAACTGACCACGCAAATAGAAACTGGTAGGTCAAGAATCGT